ATAGGATTACAGGCCATCTTCTCTACCCAGCCCACTCAACCTCACCAATCTGCCATGTCCGCTGGTAACGACCAAAGCCCAAAACCTCAAAATCAAAATTAATTTAGAAAATCATGATAAGTAATAATGAAATAAAATCTAATGGGAAATAGATCGAGTTGAAGCGAACTGGCTCACAGTTTTGGGCTCAGCTTGTCCCATTGACTTGCCCATGAGCGGAGGGGGCTGAGCATGCCCGCAAGCCGCTAACCACGTTAAATTTTTTTTTTTTTTTTAAATATTGTATAATATTTTCAATTTGAAAGTGAACAAATTTGTGAACGTCAATTTTCTTATTGTATAGTAATGGAAATTTCAAGATGTAAATTTTTTCTCATTTATCTGAGTTTGAGACCAATTACATGATACGTAGGTGAAGTTAAAATTGTATAATTTTAAAAAAATTCAAGGTGACCCAATGTAATTGTATTTAGATTTATAGTTTTGTAAACAAAAAAATTCGTCGAGATTTGAACTATTGGAAATCGCTGGCACTTGCACTTGCAACCTTATCTCGAATTCGATCTTCTACGTCTTGCTAGTCCTTCAATTACTTTAGAACCTCGAATATATTTCCTTTCAACGTACTTCTATGACTCTATCCATGTTCTGAATGCAGCTTTTAACGCTACAGCGGACCCCAAATGTTTTAGTAGATCATGTAACTCATTGATAATCGAATATTGTTGTTCAATTGATCACCATCTTAGAAGATCAACAAATTTTGTTCCATCTCGATTTGAGGTACTAGAGAAGTTGGTAATAAAAATATCTAGTTAACTCAACAAAAATTTCACTTAGTCGGCTAATATTACTATAAATAGAAGGAAAATGAGAAGATGATGAACTACCATGAGTCCGAATTTAAGAAAGTCTATACATTGTTGTCCACTAATGATGGCCTGCTCAAACAAGCTGGTGGCGAATCATTGCCCTCACCTTGACACATGACAAAAGTTAAACAAATTTTTTTTTCGATAATATATTTACATCCATGTAAGTTAATATGAAGTTCTATAGCCGTAGTTGAAGGAAATAAGATGGGCAAGTTCTTCCAATATTTCTAGAATTTCAACTACTTGCTAATAATAATATCATAAAAAATGAACAACTTCTATTCTTCTTAATAAAAATTAATATTAAAAAAATGGATTAAAAACTGGAGTAGTAGGAAATTAGATGCATGTGCATGCACTGGCCACATTATAGAAAAACTTCAATAATTCATGATCTCAAAAAACAATTAGACAGTAAGTATTATTAAAATCAGAATCAGAACCGCGAGCATGTCATTATAAAAATAAGTAATAACCTTCTCATAATTGACACAAGATTGTAGTACGAGATACGTAGAGTTTCATTTGTTATCATGCAAGTTGTAAGTGTCCCGTTGAGTAAGTTACACGTTTTTCACGTACACTTGCAAATGCTCGTTTTTCAAGATGGGGAGACAATATTTAGCCTATGTTTGGGAGCCATTCTCTATCCAATTTGTAGGAAATTTATAGCCGTTGCACAGTGTACGTGTCAGGGAAGGGCAGAAAGTTTTTGACTAATGACGAAGAATTACCAATTTGCCCTTATAAAAAATTCAGTCTGAACTAAAGTAATGACAGCCTAGTAAATTGAATCAATTGCCATCATTACTTACTGGATACACGGGTCCCGCTGACAATGTCTAACGGTCAAAATTTTCATTTTTTTGGGGCCAAAATGGCTCCAAAACAGAGGCTTAAACTAGTAACTTGTCCAATTTCATATTGCACAATTAAATTAAAAAGTGTCAAACACAACGCAAGTCAAAAAGCTTGACATCAAAATCAGGATAAAGTTGATTAATCAATTTTCATACATTTCCATTAACACTTACCTTATCAAAAAGTGAAATTACAAACTTTATCTTCACAATAAAAAATCCCTTAGGATGGTCATCAAACCATAGAGAAGTATTTTTGTGCACTATATGGATATTCAATGATATTAATCCACAATTTATCAATGTAATGAGCCATTTCACAAATATAACCTCTATGGTTTTTCTCAGTCCACAAATCGAAAGTAAATGATATGATATCGAAATTAAAATACGCCAATGCTGCAAAAGTAGTCGATAGGGTTGTTGACCCCAAAAAATGAATTAATAGATGTAGGGTCCACTCTCGTCCAGTCAAGCACGATTTCGATGCGTTCCCACAGGAATGATAACGGTAGCTATAAGGAAATGGACGTGGGATATACTTTACGACGATAGACAAAAATGTTCAAGTTTCGGCGGGTAGAACAAAGGCAATCGCACTAACAACGATTGCCAAATGGAAACCAAACTAATTTATGTAATAACAAAGTAAGAATATGTGGAAGGATAAATGAAGTGTAAAAATATTTCCTTTTTCCGAGTTCAAGTGTATATTCAGAATATATGATTCTCTCGATTTCTATTTTTTTTCATCCCCCTTTTCATTACAGAGAAGACCTATTTATACTGTCTTGCCCGACGTGGTGACAGTTGGATCGGAACCACGTGGACTCATCTACCTAACTAAGGCTTCACATCACTGTTTATTCATTACAATGAATACATTGATAAGAGGTCAGCCACCCTATGCAGTAGGCTGACACACTGACAACTTTATTACAAGCGTTACATCACTCGCTTCTAGTAGATCCTTAAATCTATTGCAAGAGACAGCGTGGGTTCAATGAGCTTTGGACGAGTTGGGGAGAGCCTCAGATAGATCTGAGTTTCGTCTTTGAAGAAGTGTCTCATAATGGACTTCATAATGCTGTGTGAGAACTTCGAACGTTGTGTGAGAACCTAGGCCTGTTTGTCTTATTAGTGTGTTTGACCTACTAGGTCTTCATTTTGACTTTTTTGTTGACCTTCTGCCCACGTGTCGTGTCATACGACTTCGTTTCACGGGACCTCAGATGCGAGGAGTAACAAGAGTTATAAGTGCAGTTACAAGAGTCATCGACACAAAACTATAGCCTATGTTTGGCTTCTATTTTTTCAAAAATTCATTTTCAGTTACAAATTATTCCATAAAATAATATTACATGTAAATCGAAATTTTTTCCTTATTTTTCAAGGGTGGTTATATTGCTATAGCAATTTTCATTTGATACCCCACATTTTAATTGATGTCAAGCTACTCAATTTTTACTCATTATAGTAATTATTTTCTTAACTTTTTTCATTGAATATTCATTTTAAACCTTCCACTAATTAATACGTCTTGTCATCGATGATAATATATATCGAAATATTTTATTTTCACGCTTCGAAATGAAGGAACAATATTTATTTTCACTTTTTATATATTTATTTTTAAAAAATATGATGGGAAAATAAATTGTTTTACGCTACTTCAATATACTTTTGAATGTAAAAATGTAATCAAATACAAAATGTGTCAACTAATGAAAAGTTTTAGGATAAGAATAACATAAAAAATAGTTAGAGACATAAATGCTATGAGCAAAAACGAAGAACCTTAAGTGTAACTAAAAATGTGGTGTAACTCATGTAAGAAATAAAGATTGTGGTGTGAATATTTTTACTCATTTCAACAATCATTTTCCTTCAAATTTCCATCCAAATGAAACTCAAACAAGGAAATAATGTCTATAATTTATTCTCTTTTCTTGATATGCACAGAAACAATCCATAAATATTTGAATTTGGTTAAGAACAAAGCTAGGATCTTAATGTTGAAAATGTCTGCATCAGATCTACTCAGTCCAAATACTTTACTTTTTTTTTTTTTTTTAAATTTCGTATTTCATTCAACAAGCATTTTGTTTTCAAATATAAGAAGCAAAATTCCACTATTAAAATGTAAAAGAACGAGGGGGGAGACTTCAAGTGATACGATGTGTTTAGAGCCAACCGTCTTGAAATAATAATACTTTTAAGTAAGAATAAGAACATTAAATATAACATGTCGACAAATTATTTGACCTTCATTTTAAAGCATGTTAACAAAATATTTGTACAGAAACCATTACAAGGAAGAATGTACACTAATTAATTGTAGGACAAGCACGCGATAAATAAATGGATATAAATGCAAAACGAACGAAGATTTTTGAAATGTCATTATAATTGTAATATGGTGAAAGAGGGGTGTTAGATGAGGCGAGCTGCTTATTGACCTGCTCTCGATGCGAGCCATGAGACGAGTTGGAGAATTGATGGTTTGATGCATACTTTGTTGGTGATTTAGGTATAAATGTTAAAAAGGTATTTTATGTATTGATTTATTGTTAAATTTTATCTTGTGGAAGAAATTTTCATAAGGGTATTTTAGGTATTACATTGTTTTCCCACTCACATTTATGAAGAAAAATAGTTAAGGGGAGCGTATGCCAATCAAAACTTGAAATAGGGGATGTTTCTGTTATTTTTCAAAAATAAGGGGTGTCTCGAGAAAACAAAATGTAAGTGCGCCAGTGAGGTCCAACCAACTAGCGCGTGTAAAGTACGAAACCACTACCCACTTCACTTGTACCTCACCGGCGGTCAACCCGGTCGATTCGCGTCCTTCGTCCCTTTGTTCTCTTCTACTTGAACTTAACAAGTCGAACAAAAAAAATTCCCACTCTCCCCATTTCTCTCTCTTACGTTCGTTATCTTGTAATTTTGTTTCGGACCATTATTTTTGTTTTTGGAATCTTGGAAAATTATAATGATTTTCAAGAAATGTTTCTGTCTGTAGTTTTGATTTTTTCAAGAAATATTTCTGTCTGTAGTTTTGATTTTTTGCTAGCAAAACCAGTTTTATAATGATGTTCTTGAAAATTTTCTCTCTTTAGTTTAATTTAGTTGTTGCTTTGTTTAACAAACCCAGTCAGTTTACTTTCTGGAAGGGCAAAAAGAAAAAAAAAGAAAAAGAAAAAAAGTCAGCTCTCCCGCGTGTAAATTCGACTGTGAACATAGAATTTGGCGAACTAAAGAAGTGATGGTTAGAAAACACGGATGGCAACTACCAGCTCACACCTTACAGGTTCTTCAGCTTAATTTTCTATTTATCTAGTTGTAGTTAGTTTGATATTTTTCGAGATTTTCCTTTTGAACTATTAGTTAATTAAATGATTTTTTCATGCGAATTAGTATTGAAGTTGCTTACAATTGGGGGAAACGATAGCAATAGGCTATTTTGCTGGAGTTTTAACTTATGGGAAATTAGTTGCTGGACCCAAATTAACTAGAAAAAGGTGAGATTGTTAAAAAATATATATAGTTGAACTCTTCGTTTATTAAAACTTAAATCTAATATGTGACTCAAAGGAGAAGTAAGTTCAGTGAGCACTAAAATTAACTTTGAAAATCATGACAATGTAAGGTTTCTTTCAAGCACAACCAAACATACGCAGGTTTCGTGCTGCAAGCCAGTGATTTTCTGCTAAATTATCCATTCTAAGTTATTTGAATGACTATGAGTCTATAGTTCATTACATTATTATTTTGCAGCAGAAATTTGAGGTTTAATGATCATCACATGTTTCACTTTTTGGGTACTTTGGAGGTTGATGTCCTTCCTCTAGAATTCTGGTCACAGGAATTTTCATCAATTTGCTCTTCTTCTTTTTTTTCTGTTTTGTTTTGTAGCTTTGTCTCTTACCTCAGTACTATCAAGTGGAATGCTTTGCATTTATTCATCGTCATACATCAGTGAAGTTACATTGAAAATTAAAAAAACCATTTTCTTTGGGGACTATCGATGACAATTTTTTAGGTATTCACTGCATGTACGCTAGGGTTTAGATGAAACTTTTAGCATATAGGAAATTAGTTGAAGTCCTGAATTGGGAAAACACGCCCAGTTACACAGTGAAAACTAAATTAAGGGGTTATACTATGATGCAACATTAGCAACACCAGTTGAACCCCATTAGAGGAAATTCATTATTTACTTCGTCAAACTTACTTTTAAGTTCCCAAATGTAATTTTCAAAGCTCCTTTTTTACTAACAAAACTGAGAAAGTTAACTTTTAAGCCAAACAAAACATGCTTTACATAGATTGCTTACCGCATATGTAAATTTAACTGTGGTTAGGAAATTTACATTACATTTTTGGTGTAATTCTTCTCTGTTTTCTTGCATCACCTAATGTCTGTATGCACGAAATAATCCTGTGATGATAATGATCAGGCTTCAGCCAGGCCTGCATTGGTATGCACAGTAAGACTTTGCACCTTTAACCCAACCTGGGTAAATCAAAATCTGATTTCCTGCTTTCATGTTGATCTTTTTATTTTTAATAACTTATGAGATGGTAGACATTAAAGAGTGTCCATTTTGTTTTTGAGTTTTCAACTACCGAAAATGTTGCTTGGATTTATGGGTTGACAGATTGGTGTAGACTGAGATATGGAAGTTCGATGAAATAAAAGAGCTCTAGCAAATATTACAACTACAGAAAAAGGGAATTGCAATTTAGATTAGATATGAGATAAATATAACCAAGACTGGAAACAGGATTTAAACAAAATAACAAGAAAGATAAAAACTATTTTAGGGTGTGATGAAGGTAGGAAAAGTGTTACATGTTCTCTTAAACTCGTGGAAGCAGCACGTCTCTTGATACTTAAAAAGAAACTGTTACAGCCATATAAATTATGTTCCTCCCTTAACGTAATATTTGTGATTAATGAATGAAATATAAGGTACTTCACTAATGTGATGTTGCTAGATTTTTTAATGTTGGATTTCATGAGATTTTCGCTTTTTCATATTTTTATGCACATAAAAGTACTGACTTAATCCTGGATATCATCTTTAACAGGTTATTGCTATCACCGTGTTTTGCATCTTAGTCGTTGCATTTTATGCTTTCTTTGCTCCTTTCCTTGGAGGCCAGATCTGGGAGTATGCTCTCATTGCTGCCTATTCTCCAGTGGTATGTAGATTCATCTGACATATGGCTTGCTATTGTCAACATTCTATTCTTTGCACAGATACAAAACTAAGAACTTATTGATGAGAAACAATATGTACTGAATTTGAGTACAGAATAGTACTGATGATTGAAACAAAATGATGAAAGAACTATTTCAGCAATGAAGCAGGGCATTGGAGCTAGTGGTAAATCAGACAACTTCCTTCTGGCTGAGTCACTAGATGACTTAAGTGCAAAGATTTCAAAACTACCTGGTCCTATTAAGTGTGATTGGGTGAACTGATGTGAAATATTCTAACATTTTAGTCAAATCAAATGCATCATCACTATCACGAGAGGAATATCCACAAAAGCTTTCTGTCAGATTTAATTGTAATCTTTGTGATCTATGATTTTGTCAAGATTTGAGGCACTTAATGAAGGCCTCGTGTGAGGCACACCTCAAAGAGCAACGTACTTCTCGCAATATAACCTTAAAATTGGGACACCTTAAGCTAACAAGATGGGAGTTCAACTATTTGTGATTCCAAACTGAAAGCAAGGAAAATAATAGGAGAACACTAAAAGAAATGACAAAACAGTAGAGAACTTGGAAGAGGGAGAGAAACATAGAGAGGATAAAAAGGGAAGCAATGAAAAATGTAGAGAAGAGAGAAAAAAGGGCAATTGCTACTTCTTTTGGTCTTTGAAATGTAATTTTTTTTATATTACAAAGTAGGAAATTTAAATAGAGGAGCTCTACAACCCTAACTTTTATCTTGCACCTGCTACCGTCCTATAGGTCTCAAATCAGGGGAGTGGACAGCCCCCGCATACTGGGAACTAACAATATAAACCAACCAAATAGAAGAAGAGAACACTGAAGATAATAGTAATATTCACAGTACAAATGACAATACTAATTTCTGATATATAGATATATAATCTGGTATTACATAGAATCATCTGCATAATTTTCACCAAAGATGAGAGCATGTGATAATTTTCAAATATCTAAATCAACAGTACAATGGTAAACATAACATTGCTTCTGTATGCACATCATTAGAGGGTGGTATTTGATAGGTCTAATCATCTGCAATAATTCTTAGAATAGAAGTCATGGACATGGAAGGAATTTTGGCATTCAAACTGGGTGAGAGTAGTGGGAAGGAGTTCTGTCAGAACTGTTTAGACTCTGCATTTCACAATATTGTTTACTGGAAGGCTGTATTTGGTAGATAACTTAATATGCGTAGTAAGATCATAACCTCCAATTTTTTAAAACCTGAATGAGCAAGTGAAGTGGACTCCCTTCCAGCTTCTGGGTCAGCACAACCAATTGAACCCTTCTTCCTTAGCTGCATGATGTGTTTTCAGTTTTTTTTGGGCTTCAGATAATAATTCTAACTTAAAACCTCAGATCAAATTGACAGGTTAGTTATGGTTAACAATTTCTACTATGCAGCCTGATGGAAGCCACTCCGATTCTGGACTGGACACATTAACCTTTCTGTTGGGTTGAGATGCATCCTATAAAAATTCACTGGAAAGATTGTTCAACTCTCCAAACCCTTGGCTCTTTGTGGCTCTATATCATGCAGTCCAATTGCTGTTATCTCAAATTTCCAAAACCATGTCCAGTTCCTGAATATATCTCCTCTACAATTTTTTACTTTTGCTCACCCTCATAAATGTTTCAAAAATGCTGGATATAAGATAATATAATGAGAGTAAGATATGATATTAAACAAAAAGATTTGAAGAGATGAAAAAAAAGTTGGGACTGGGGGTTGTTGGAATATCAGTCTAGTGCTATATCTGAGCAAATTTATTAGCTGGAAAAAGCAGAAAAATAAAACAATAAATAGAAAATCTGGTTCTGTAGTTTATTGGGTCCTCCGTCAATAGTTTTTGCAGGATGTTATCGCTTTTATACTCCTTTATTGTGAGGTAACCAGATAATACATGGTTCCCAGTCCAATTTGTTGAATCAGCCATCTGTCATGTTTAAAAATTGCTGCTTACCATTATGGTCAAGGAAGAAATGTAAGTTCCAAGAGGAAGAATCATTGACCAGATAATAAAATCATATATGGAATGATACATTAGGAGGATGGACAGTATAAATTAGACAAAGCAATAAAGAATGAAATATGTTCTAACCATAGATGTTATTGCTGGAGCCATTACTGGCTTTGAAGTGAGCATGACCAAGAAATATCAAATATGCATTAGAAATAAAAACTTCCGAGGACTTGGATTGGTGACATTATGCCTATTTTCTGCATCCACTTATTACTTGTGCGTCGTGCCAAAAATAAAAAAATAAAAAAAAAAATATGAAGTTTCGGAGGTAAAAGTCACATCCACTTACTCATCTGGAAGTGTTCTTTGTTATTCACGAGTATTGTGTATACATAAATGGGTCTCATATAAAGTATTTACAATTTGGAAAATATATTTTGTAGTCGTATCTCTGATCAAAAGTATAAATAATTTGAAAGGTCGATTTTATAATTATACCTTAATCCTTTCTGATGCTGTGGCACAAGACATGTACGTCCTGAAAATGTAACTTTGACTGTTTTAAGTGGTGATTTGATATTTACATTCCACATATCTTTACCGATTTCATTTTTATTCAAACCTTACATTATCTTGGTCTTGAACTTTATACACTTTGGGTTGCCTAATTTCATGTCGTTCCTATATTGTTTAAATTGATAATACATTTCCCATGNCGTTCCTATATTGTTTAAATTGTTAATACATTTCCCATGTATTATCTCTTGTTTTATTTATATATTCTCTGTATACTTATTAAAAAAAAAAACTTTATACACTTTGACTGGAAAGATGCTAAATGACCTGTTTATTTGCAGAGTTAGCCATGGCTCTATTTTTTGGGTAAAGACACGTATGTAATTAAGATGTTATGATGTTTACCCAATGCAGGCACTCCTTGTTTTCATTCTTTATGTTCGCTGTACTGCCATTAACCCAGCAGATCCTGGTATCATGTCAAAATTTGATCCCGAGCTAACAAAGAAAGCAAAGGAAAAGCACAGATCACTTGCACAGGGTCTGCCAATAAAATTTGATGAAATGAGTAATGGGGCTCATTCTCCTTTATCGTCGGCTTCAAGAAGTTCTAGAGCAGGAGCTAACTCGAGTAAGAGAGGTTCGGTTGAGTCTATGAGAACCACTAGTCAAGCTATATCTCCAAGAAGGAAGTCATCTTGCCATAATTTTGGAGGAATAGTCTGTGTGATGTTTGTACATGAAGATTGCTGCAAATCAAATGAGGCAGCTGAACAGGAAGGCACAGGTGAAGATGCCTTGTTCTGCACGTTGTGCAATGCTGAGGTAGCTAATGGATTGCCACAATTTAGTTCTCTAATTACTCGCGTGTTTCTCACAATTATGATCGCATAGGTATTTATCCAAAAAAAATAGAAGGAAAAAAAATTGAAATGACGTGGCATAGCTTTATTTCTTTATGTTCCATATACAGGGAAGATATGTTCTCTTCCCTATAATGTCATTGGATGCCATCAGCCCCTATAAAGTTCAGCTTATAAGAATGAGATTAAATTTTCATAATTTGATCACAAGTCGATTGCAGTACATGTTGGACATTTTTAATGAAACACAGAACTCGAACTGATAACTATTTTCTCATTGGCATAGCCATATGTATATAAGATCAAGTGAAAGTTTTCATAGCTTGATCACAAGATTGATTGCAGTTCCTGTTGGACATTGTTAATGAAACAAAGAACTCAAACTGATAACTATTTTCTTATTATAATACTCTGAAGACTTTTTGAGCATAAGATAAATATTTTAGCACCTTGCTGATTCTCAAATCTGAAATCAAAATGCATTCTCTGACTTGTAAAGATTATCAAGGTATCAGACGAGCAAAGAAAAAAAAATTACATTGAACAATCCCACCCATTGAAGAAAATTCTGGTACTGCCACTGGATATTGGGCATTTAAGCACGTGGTGATTCTTCATACTCATAGTTTATGATCGACGTCTTGTATCTGCGACAAGTTGACTACCACTACTGGAAAACAGTCTTCTTACCTATTCTATAGCAGTTCGCTCTGTCATATAAAAGTTTTTATATTGCATTAAGCTCATCTTTGAAGTTGCAAAAAAAATGAGCTGGCATAGACAGTTGGTTTTGTAGTTTACACTTGTTGGCTTTCTTTCCTTTTATTAAGACCTTCAAAATCTCTATTGAATGTGTTTCACTCCCTGAGAAAAAGTGTCCACTCTCAGAAATATGCATGCCTTGTCCATGCTCACTTGTCAATTATGTAAGAGAGAAACAATTAGTGATAGTCACTTATTGTTCGAGTTGTCCAAGATCATGAAGTGTTAAAAAAGAGTTGAATAAAATCAGTATACCAAGAGCCATATAAAGGATGATAATAATTTTAGAGATCTCAAAAGGCAAAGTTATCTGAATTATGTAAAGTAACATGAATGAATGTATTTTGTCTCTTAACATGCATATGATGCGACATTGTTGTCATATTAGTTGCAAGTAGAACTAATGCATGCACTCAAATCCATGTCTTGGTCAGAAACAATACATTGGTAATTGTATCACAGTTTACAATGTTTGTATATGGTTGCTATCTGTCCTTTTTCTCAGACCCAACTTATATTATTGTTTCTTAAAAATAGCATAGGACAGGATTGATGAATACTGGACGAGCTGAGTAGAAGTCATTCTTATTATGGTGCACAGAATTGAGCTGTGAATGAACCAACCTTGAAAATCAAACAAAGAGAATGATTGGTGATTAGGCACTGGATAGGAGTTCTATTTACAGTGAGAGTTCTATGTTTTAGTGATTGTTTTAGTTGATTAAGCAGCTTCCTATTTGGGTTGATAGAATGTCTATATTAAGCAGCCTTGGCAATGTCTTGCCAACACCTCTCAAATGATTTGACCACCATTATACAATCGGAGCCTTCTGCACTGGGCTGATTCCTCTTCACTGGGTTTCTCTGTATGGTATAGAATGACCAATATTTTCAGATAACTCATTAGTTTCATATGTTTGGAGGTCCAACACTGTCCAATCTTATATGAATTAGTTCTTCTTATAAACAAGTGTACTTCAGCCTTTTCCTATCACCCTCATGGATCTTTTCAACGTATAGCCACTGTTTGATGGGGTTTAAAATCATATTTATAGTATATTTAATGAAAATTGATCAAATTTGTGGTTGAAAAGTTGTAGGTCCCATGAAAATATGTGGTTAAAATTAATTGTTGACTTTGATTTAGATTAAAATCTGAATTTTAATCACTAGCAAATAGCTTCGTGAGTTAGACAAAAACTGCTGTGTTTTAATAGTGAAGTCTCTTGAAAGTGAAATACACTGGTGATTTTTCTGGAGAAAAGACAGACATTGGACTCTTTGCACATATTTGGACTGTGTAAACTTCTCTTGGTCATTGATTTTCTAGCATCTGAACTTCTTCGATAATTTTTAAATTATCTCCCCTGTGGGTACTATTAAATGGATTGAATATACTCTGTTTTAGACTGAAAGTACTAATCTCATGCAGATGGATGAGGTGAAAAAATGAGAGTAACTTTTGTGATCAAGTTCGCTCACGGATATCAGTTTGTGTTATTATTTCTAGATGACTACATATTTATGTATACTGTGCTCCAAACTACAAATTCCGTGCAATATTGATTTTTCAACCTAACTCGTATAGCTTGGTGTTGATGACCAAATCTGCTTCTTTGTAGGTATGCAAGTTCAGTAAACATTGTAGAAGCTGCGACAAGTGTGTGGATGGATTCGATCACCATTGTAAGGTACTTGATTCTTATGGTTACATTATGCATCTTTCATACCTTCTGGTATTCCAGATAATAATTCCTTTAATTAAGGAATCTAACTTCATTATGTTAATTATTCCAGTGGTTGAACAATTGTGTTGGGCGAAAAAATTATGCAACATTTATATCACTGATGGCTATCAGTCTTTTATGGGTACGTTTGGAGGGAAACTGTAGGTAGAATGGCTGTTAAACTTTAGATCCCTTGCTCTGATCTCTCTCTCTCTCTCTCTCTCTCTCTCTCTCTCAGGTTGTTATGGAAGCTGGAGTTGGAATTGCTGTTGTAGTTCGTTGCTTCGTTCATAAGAAGAGCATGGAGGCTGAAATAGTTGATAGACTAGGAAATGGTTTCTCTCATGCCCCATTTGCAGCTGTTGCGGTAATATTACCTCTCTTATGATTTACATCAAATACAGTGTTTTTCCCATTAACTAATAATGCAGAAGTTCTTATCACGATTAACATTTCATTCTGCAGATTGTATGTACAGCAGTGTCTTTATTGGCTTGCATACCCTTGGGTGAACTTCTCTTTTTCCATTTGATACTGATTAGAAAGGTCTGTACCTTGAGTTTGTTTTCTCTATGATGTACAATTTTTAAGTAATTTCTAATGAACTGGGAATCCAGTGTACTATCTTCAAAGACTTATGCAGTGAAATATTTCTTTTGGGTTTGTACTAAATTATTTACAACGGATTGAATGTTTTAAAAGAGATGCACGGAATAGAGGATTTCTAAATACGAATAGTTGTATACCTTGCCGTGTTGTATCAGGGAATAACAACTTATGAATATGTTGTGGCAATGAGGGCCATGAGCGAGGCACCTGCTGGAGCATCTATGGATTTGGAACTCCCTAATATTACATACTCTCCGTCGGGTTCTGCTACTACCGGCTTCAGTGGTGGAAGTTCATTGGGCCTGCAGTATAAAGGAACATGGTGTACCCCTCCTAGGGTGTTTGTTGATTATCAGGTGAACATTAGTATTACTTTCTGGTTGGATAAGACATACTATAAGCTGTTTATGGATATGCGGAATTCTGAGTGAGTTTGGTGAAGCTTAAATATAATTAATTTTATAAATTGACTTTTTCTTTCTAAACGTTTCTGGAAAGTAATACTCTTATCATCTTATGTTGCTTTTAGAATAAGTAACTTATTTCCAGTTTTGATCGATAAAACAAATTATGTACTTTAAACTTAATTGGTTATTTATATATAAAAAATTTATGCTTAGCTAAACATGCTCTATATGTGGCTGTTTGGTTTATTTACTTACCTCTGACTCGTGCACCTGACTCGAGTTTCATTTAATTACATTTTTTTCTGGCTGAACACACAATTCTCATATGCTGGTTTTATTTTACACCCTGACAACCTTCTATATGTTTAATGCCTTCCTGCGAAAGGTTCTTCCCATGGAAAATTTGTCAGTATTGCAAAAAAATACTATCTTGTATTGATCATAATGCAGTGGTTCTTCAAATTTCTTTCAATTTTTTCTTACCTGGGTCGATCACTCTAAAACACAATCAACTATCTTAACTTTCTGCTTTGTGAGCTCTATCAAATAGAGCGTGCAAAGGATTGAAATTCTCTGGAAGCTAAATCTTTATTTTCAACAAAGTGTTGTCCAATTTCTTACTGATTTGCTTTCTGATCATGAACTTTTTGCCAGAAGTTGCAATTTGTGAAGGATAAGAAAAGTTCACCTTCTATTAATTAACCTCTACCAATTCTTTTTGACGAATCCCGTTATTTTTCTTAATTCCGCCATCTTTCTTTGTGATTATTAACTCTCAATTTACATCAATATTAGATTATTTCATAATTGTTCGATCTGCATCTGAACCATGGTATCAGGAAGAAGTTGCACCTCAGCTGGGACCTGGAATGGTACCATCTACAGTCGATCCAGATGCTGCTGGATTTGGTGAAAAGGAAAACAGAGCACCGAAAAGACAAGTTCGTATCAGTGCATGGAAGCTTGCAAAACTAGATTCCAGCGAGGCCATGAAAGCAGCTGCAAAAGCGAGGGCATCGTCCTCTGTATTGCGTCCTGTTGATAACAATCGTGTGCTGGATTCTGAATTAAGTTCCAGTGAGAACGCGAGTGTTAGAAGCAGCTTGAGCACTGAAACTGGAGGAAACAAGAACTTTAGGAACGAGTTGAAACTCTCTCCTTCGAGAAATTTTCACGCTCCAAGTCAAGGCAGCCTTGATGAATATGAAACTGGCACCCAAAGTGTGAGTAGCTTCAGCAGTCCCAGCCATGTTCACGAATCAGTCACGCTAAGTCCCCTTCCTCAAGCTCATGGTTTGAGCCACTTCGTTACTACTAATTCCGCACCACAAGGTTTGGTTCCTGATCGCCCTGTAACCTCAAGAACCGTTCTCCCAGGTAACAATCCTCCAGTGTTGCACACTTCATTAGGGTTCGATGAAAAGATCATGCAAAAGGGTAGCGCTGTGGACCCATTACTACTCTCTGCTCCTGCCCCAGCTCCAGCTCTGGGTCTGGGTTTGGGTTTGGGTCCAACAACTTCTCTCCTCAGAGATGTTAAAAGGACATCTGTGGTTTGGGACCAAGAAGCTGGAAGGTACGTCTCTGTTCCAGTGTCAGCTTCAGAAGCCCGGAGAAAATCATCTTTACAAGCAGGAGTATTAAACCCTAATACAACACGGAGTAATTATGATAAGAGGCCTGCAGTTCCTCGGGATCCTTTGCAGCCACCTGTAGTAAAGCCTCCAGTCCAGCAGTCGGAGAAGCTAATGTACACCGGGGAGTCAATCTTCTTTGGTGGCCCACTCTTGAGCGCTCCAATTAGGGATGTTCCGAGAGCTGAGACAGGCTCAAGTTCAAGAGATGGCCAAAATAGGTTGCATTTAAGTTTGCCTCGAGAAACGAGATTCAAGAGGGACTCTACCTCAAACCAGCTTCCAGTCTTTGTTCCTGGGGATTTTGAACCGAATTTTCCATCTGGATCAGGTCTGAAGTAGTAATTCTTAATCCCCTAGTATTCATTCTCCAATTATCGGGGTGAAATTGGGGAGTATTAGAAGAAACCCCTCGAGTGAGCAGCTTTTGAACAATCCAGAACCTTTTCCGATCAATTGCAGCCTGCAATGCAACTGAGTGATTAGGTTCCGGCATCTTTTTCTTGATGGTGACTTTCCGATCATTAACACAAAAGTAGTCATTGTAATCAGAAATGATGAATGAGAGATCTACTCCACTTTCCGGGTATAATCTAAATTAATTTCTCTTTTATGTATAAGCGAGCTTCTTTCGTAGTCCTAGAAAAGATCAATTCTACTTGATTTGGTTGTACTTTGAGCTTGATAGTTGTTTCCCATTAATCCATTGCTCAGTTTGCTTGTTCCCAAATCTTGGCTTGGCTTCTCATTTTATCCATCCATTAATGAACACGAGAAGAAAACATGGATTCTATTTTCTTGATGCTAAGTCATCAAATGTACTTGTAAACTGTCATCAAACGTACTTGTAAACTGTGTTAAGGGGAGTTATTGTCTATCGTCGATTTCTATGGCAGAACTAGTCGGAGCGCCTAAGAGAAGGTGATTTACCTTGCGACGGATGTCAATGCATGTCCGAAATGACTTTGGCCCATTGGGGAACGCTAATTCATTGAGCTATATTTTAAAAGTCCGAACTATATGATTAAATAAATATTTCTCAACTTTAATTCTTTCAGGATTTGTTACAACCTATAATGCCTAGAAAGTAAGCTCCTCAATTCAAAGCGATGAAACACAAATCCAATTTGCTACAAAAGCCGGCTAATGGTATCAGTGATTTGGATGAGATATAGCTTAATTATGCGTTAATTATAATTATTCGGTTGAACTCATTGCAAATTGATGGAATTGAAAGAAAATAACGAAAAAGGACAAAAAGAAAGAAATCCAAAATATGGGGATCAAAGTGTAAACATTCAACAGTTGAATAAGACCATAAAATGATGATTGAAGATCATATATGATCAATTTGATACAATTGGAGATCAACGGAGTGAAAATAGTTGAAATATTATCACAAATCAATTTCCAACCGAAAAAATTATGCTCCAAATTTTTAACCTCAATTTAAGACCAATCTGGGGATGGTAGCGGGTATGAAATGAGATGGCCATTCTGACCTCCGTTCCTTCAGGTATTTTTGTCACCTTGTCACATCCCCATACCCGGTTAAAGCGAGACGGGGCGGGATCGCCCCATTTATTTTTTCTTTTTATTTATTTTATTTTTGCTTTTAATTTTTTTATGTCTTTAGTTAGTCGATATTATTATTTTTTTACGAATTTGTTAAAAACAACTTATGTTCTCTTTAAAAATGATGATAAATTTGTTATCTTTGTTTGATAAAAAAACTTAAATTTAAAATTAACTTTAAATGGGGTGGAGACTATGTTTTCTGTACCCAATTCGGGGTAATGACCCCTACCTCGTCCTCGCCCTGTTTACCCGGTCAGACAGGTAATTCTCGTCCCATTCGGGGGTGGGGTCCATGGGTATCGGGTTGAACCCATTTTTTGTCATCTCTAGATCCATTTTTCGGATAGCAAATGTTTGATTAGAAGAATTATAGCTCTTTGAGTTATCTTTTCAATACATTTTGAATTACCTTAATCGAATTTTGGGAAAGAAAGTTATGATCAAAATATCGAAAGTAGAGACGAAACGACTCAGTACACTGATTTTCATGACCTGAAAGCCATTTGGATCAACGGCGCGTACGGTGGTTATACCTGTGCGCACGTGGGGGCTTTTTTGCTAATGAATCAACATTTTCCTTTAACGATTCAAACTCTTTTTGGAACCCAAATTGGACGTGATTTTGATCATTTTCTGGAGCTTATAAATACAAAACAAAGGCTACACATTGAAAACACTCTCTTGCTTCTTCATACATAATAATATTATCAAATTCATCAAGAACAATGGGTTAATTGCTATATTTTAAGATGTGAGATCAAGCCCCAGCAAGGAATTGAATCCAATTATATCAAAATTTTGAAAAATTCAATGTTGGAATTGAAGATCAACATCTTTAGCATTCTATCATGATCTGAGTGACATTTTTCTATTATTCTTCTTGTAATTTATATATTAATATGTTAGGCTATATCCGTTTCTGTATTAGATGAAGATGAATCATGTTGTTTATTCGTTTTAATTCAAGACTAGTAATTTAATTTAATTATTGTGTTATTTAATTTAATTTTGCATACTCATTGCATTTTTTAATTGTTTAGCCACTAATTAGATAATTAGTTGCTTATTGTAATATTGTTAGACTCGCAATAAGTTTAGAATTCGAGAAAATTAACATTTATCATGTGTGCAATCATATAGATAATCTAAATTTTAATGGATTCTTATCATTTAAATTCGGATTAGGAATAGATTTGGATCATGATTATAATACATTTAATTTGTCTTGGAAAAAATTATATATCATAATTTTATCAATTGTCAAAAACGCATGAACGGAAATTAAATTACAAATCAAGAATTGAAATAGATAAACAATATACGGATTCAAAATCCAATGCAAATCATCTGTAAATTGATAAAAATCACATTTTTACAGTTTTCTTAGATTAATTTAGCATAAATCAAATCAAAATCCATTTTGTTTCATAATTCAAATTCCATGCGAAGTTTGAAAATTTGAATTGAATTTATTCAATATAGGACGATACTCTTAACTCATCACTTCTATTACTTGTTAACGAAACCGTACGCTTGCGAGTTTCACACGAACAATTTGATTTGTCAAATTAAGTTTTCATCATATTTCAATCTCTACAAACTTGAGAGAATTTGTTATAAAAGCCGGCTAACAGGGCATTTGGTTTGTCAGATTATTAACTAAAGTTTTCGTCGTATTTCAATCTTCACAGACCTCGGAGAGTTGCAAAGTTGCAATTTATGGTGCAAAAGAGATGGTTCTTTGAGCATGAATAGAATTGACATAACAATAAATCGAATATATATAGTCAATTTAAATTATTGATAAAGAGACTCAATTATTTTATTGTGAGAATCAATTAGGTTATTGCATGTAAGCATAATTCATTTGTAGAATAATTCTCCAAGTACAGGAAATATTGCCAGAATTCCAACAGAAATTTAAATTGGAAAATCCTGTCCGTGTATTTGATTTTTCCCCTCCTGAATGTTTCAATTCATTCCATCCATTTCAAATTCCTGTATGCATTCTGTGAAATTTACATGTACTTATAGCATTGTTCTCATTTGTATTCATTGAAGAAAATATTTCTTGGTAATTTTCTCAAAAAAAAGAAAAAAGAAAAGAAAAAGAAAGAAGTGGGAAAGCAAACTTCGAAAACGACAAGAAATTAGAGAGAATTTGTCTCCTGTTTTTGACAATTAACAAAGACATTGTTTACCGAGTCGATAGATTGTGACTCACTGAGTGGTCTAAGTCAACACAGACTTCATTGCCGCCCGGCGCCCACATAATGTAATGCAATACAAAATGCACCGTCACCAAGTTTCCACAACACTACAGGGGCGGTGTATAATTGTGTTAATTACACTATTGTTACTGAACTTTACTCTTAGTGTTACTCGTACAACTAAACTCTAAATTCTTTTAGTTATGTCACCACATTATGTTAACATTTTGTTAGTTCGTTGATGTAACCTATTACATGAGATTACGTTGATTACATCAGTTGTAATCGAACTTCACCATTAATATTATGTATACCACAACTTGTTTCAGTTTCATCACCACAGTAGTGAGCCAACCATGGGAGACCACTACGCGGTATGAATTTCGACCATTTGTCGGATTCTTATACTCTACGATAACATACGTTTATTCATTTAGGGTTTATTTGTTCTATACATTATTTTATTATTAATTTAAAATTGGGTCAATTGTACGCCTCTTTCAATTGCACATCTTGTTTGTAGTGATATTTTATCGATATAGTCTTCAGATGATTAAGCCCCTATTTGGTTCAGGTCAGAGTTAACAATTAATTTTAACAACATATTTAATGGGATTCACAATTTTTAATTACATATTTGATCAATTTTTATAAAAATATACCAAAAAAACTGATTTTAATATCCATCAAATAGGGGCTAAAAACAAAGTAAAATATCATATTATGATAAAAGAAAAAAAAAATTTTAATTTCGTAATTTTACCAAAATTTAGTCTGACATTTCAATAGGTTGGGGACCCTAACTGTAATTTTCCCTAATGAAATATTCTATTGTCAAAACCGATCTTTAACTGAAACAATAGATTGCCACTCATAAAAGGGATCGATAAAGCCGTAGACTTTTATGCTTGCCCACAAAAATAAATGCACTAATAGGTGGAAGGGCGGTGGGCGTGGGTGGGGTGGAGGTGGGTTGGTACGAATGGTCCGAGGTATAACCTTGCTTCTAAGAAGCATAGACCATTCCTTCTTCAAGGAAAAGACTAAAGGAATTCAAATTCTAATGGCTTAGGAAAAAAACAAGAGGCTATAATTTACTATATATGATACAGAATACTATATATATTCAAGTTCATAGCAGGACTCCACATCCAGACAAGAAGTTAAAGAATTGTGATCCTATATTGTATTTGTTGCTGTCAAACCTCAATATTCCCAAACATTCTTATTATCACAGAAAAAATGAGTGTAGAAGTGTTGGATGGTGCCACCATTGTGAACTTCGTGCATGACGAAGAAGCGTTTAATGCTTGGGTTCATGCCCATTTTATGAAACTCGATACAAACCATGATGGCCTTCTTTCATACGACGAGATGTTAGCTGAGTTAAGGAGTTTTAGAGTCTTCGAATGCCACTTTGGTGTTGATGTTAAGACTGATCCAGACGAGGCGTCTCGGGTGTACAATGCAATGCTTGTGCAGTTTGATCATGACTTGAACGGGACAGTAGACTTGCAAGAATTCAAAGAAGAGAGCAAGAGAATGATGTTAGGGATTGCAAATGGATTAGGGTTCTTGCCCGTTCAAATGGTGTTGGAAGAAGGCAGCTTTCTCAAGAATGCAGTAGAAAGGGAATTAACCAAATTAGCTGCAGCCTAAATCAATCAATTTGAGACTCAGATTCACTTTAGAAATGTGTAATAATGTCATCAACACACACGTGTGTGTGTCTGTTTTTGTTGTTTGTTAAAACTGTTTGCTTCGAGGTTTTCCAATAATAATTGATTCCATATTGCAGCGCAATTGCCCTTACTAAAATGACGATGTACTACACAAACGGACAAGATTTTAACTTCTCTTTTACTTTTAAAGTTGTCTAATATTGTACAATACAACGTACTAAACATGTCATAAATGTTTCTGAGGATATGTCTTTCATCAGGCAAACAAAAACATTTTCTTAGGTGAAGAACAGTAATTCGAGTAAGATGCAAGTATGAAATGGAGAGCACTAAATGCAGAGAAGAAGAGAAACAAAAACAAATCAACACAATCTACCGAATGACTATTTCGAGACATGTAAGTCAAGGCCATGTCTGGGAGAACTTTTTCATTTGGAAAAATTGATTTTTTTACCGTTATTTGGCAGAATATGGGGCCCATAGTGAGATGACAAAGTCAAAAAAATCAGGCTCCTCCTCCTACAACGGTCCAAAAATCTATTAAAATTGGCTTAAAATTTCTTCCAGACATGCTGCAAATATAAAAGATCAAGTTCGTTGTTTAGAAAGAAATCTAGCGGTATTAATGAGCGTATCAGTAGTTTAGGTGTGTGTTTGGTAGGGATTTTTTGGGGGAAGAATTGATTTTGAATAGTGATATGATGAGAAATGTGTGGTTGAAAAAGAAGATAAGATTATTGATGTGATAGAAAATATTATTTTATTGAAAAATGTGTGGTTAAAAATGAGAATTGATTTACTATTGAAAATGAGAATTTTTACCAAACATAGCCTAGAAAATGGGCTTCAAAGGCCCTATTCAACTCATCTAGAAAAAAAAATGGAAATTACATCCTCCCCTACTTTTGAAAATCCAAATTTTAAAATCAGATTTTATATTTTTATTTTCAAAAGTCAGATGTTTTATAGGTAGAAACCCCGCCCCAACCCAACTTAAATCCCTAATTTCTCACCTTTCAGCATAACTCCTCTCCCTCACCCCCTATTTCTCTCGTAGTTGTCGGCGTCCTCCCTCCCTCCCTACCTAATTTGTAGCAGCATCGCGAAGTTCATCGGCGACGGCTGCAGTACTACACCATGGCGACATAGACCCAGCCCATTTGTGGTCGGCCAGGCGACGACGTTGTAGATCTGCGCCATCTGCAGGTCGCGAAGGTTCATCGGCGGCAACTGCAATACCACCACCGGTTGCTTCGGGTGCCAAACCGTGCAGATCTACTGTATGTGGGTGGACTTCATTAATCATTAACCAACCATCTCCATGGCATGCTTTCTTACGAGATGAAATTTTGCATCTGTAAGCACTGTTTCTTTTGAGAGTTCGTTAATCAGTCTGGTGGTTGAAAATTTGGGAGTTTTTTGGTTTTTGATTCGTACTTTGTGGTGTCGACGGTGGCGGTCGTGGCATTGGGTGATATGTGAGATGGTGGTGGTAACTAAATTAATATATCTGGCTGTTGAAATTTTGGGAGTTTTTTGGTTTTTGATTCGTACTTTGCGGTCTGGTGCGATGGTGTTTTTCTGTTGATTTGTTTGAGAGGGTGGTGTTGTCGTCGGAGGCGGCAGTGGTTTTGGAGCCGCATAATGGACTAATTGTGATCGCATAATGGATTAACCGTGACCTTAAAATTCGACAATTTGTGACTAAATATTAATTTGAGTCATGTGCAATAATATTTTGTAATCTGTGTTGTGATCATTTGAAAACAATCAGTGACTATGAACAAAATTATGAGTTGTGACCTGAATTGTAATTTGTAACCCGAGCTGTGACTTGAACTGTGACCTGGAATCGGAGCAGTCGTCGGGAACGGTCACCGGAATAGTCATCGGAATCGGAGCAGTCGTCGGAGAAATTGTCGGAATCGGAGTAGTCGCCGGAGCGGTGGGGGTGGTAGAGGTGGAGGTGGGGGTGGGTTATATGTGTGTGTGTGCGCGCGATTTTTCATATTTGAAATGTGAAAATTGTTTTGTTATTTTTGAAATAGGGTAAAGATAAAGTAGGAGAAATGAATTTTTCCAAAAAAAAATCTCAGAACAAAAAAAATAGCAGGAGGAGGATATCCTTCAACTACTGAAACACTTTAGTTCAAGAAAAGGCTTAACATACAAGAATAACATCAAAACATTTCTTCCCTCTTTACATCCCAACTTCAAGTAATTATTACTGTTTAACAAATATGAATTGGAAACTGAAAAGCATCAAGTACCATCCATGGGAATATCATTACCATTACTGACGTTTGTGTTTGCGCTGAATGTACTTTCATGTGGGGTGCTATTTTGAGTCTGCCCAGCTCCAAAGCTGAACTGGTGAGGAACGTCAAATGAAGGCCGTGAAAAAATTGTGGTAGCACTAATGTTATTGAAAGAAGTAACACCAACCATTGGATCATTAGGCTTTGGAAAGCCTAAGCTGAAGGACGGCGGATTGGAAGGTGAGAAGCTTGGCAAGGAAATACCGCTTGTTTCCAGTGAACCAAAAACTTTTTGTTCGTACTCTTGTAATTGCTGGTAGATCGCTACAATTTATCAAAAAAAAGGAAAAAAAGAATGTCAGGTATGGTACCGTACTAGTAAAAAACTACAGTATGATCACCGTGTTGGCAGCTTTAATCATAAACGGGCTCTTGACATTTCAGTACTAATGGAGGCCTTTTTCTTGGAAGAAATTTCAGATCAAGGTCATGACAATGACAATTTGAAACTACTATAAATATATACAATTAAATCTCAATCAAGAAATGACCAAGAGATAAATTGGGAGGAGGATCCAAGTACAAACTTAATCAAAGAAAATAGTGCTCCGATTACAACTATTAATTTGACTAAAAATTATCACTCTCTTGAGAAGGGCGCTCCTACAATTCTACTCAAGACATGCCCCGACCATCTATATCATCCTTTCTTTAATTTATCCTCTCGCCTTCTTTTGTTATCATATTGATGGGGAATGAAGATAAGAATATCTTCAGTAAAGTAGGAATAAAGATAGTTCAAGTTAGATTAGCTTATTTTAGTTTTCTAACTCGACTAGAACTAGGATCTTATGTTACAGATTTTCTAGTTTTGACTTAAATTAGGCACTATTTCCTTTCTTTTCTTCTTAAATTAGGTTTGCTTAAACTTGATGTTAAGAGAGTCATTCATTGTAATACTTAGGCATGTTTGCTATTGATTTAAATAAAACTTTAATTTAAGTCAAAGTCAAACAATCAATATTAACTACATATTTTATGGGTTACACAACCTTTTTACTACACATTTCAAAAACTTTTATCAAAATTTACTAAAAATTTAATTTTAATCCCCACCAATTAGGGGTTTAGACTCATATTTCTCCATCTAATTTCTTTGGATTTTCTCCCTTTCTTTTCAAGTCTCATTCTTGTTCGTTGCATCCTATATCAATTTGGTATCAGAGAGCAAGTAGTTTTCCCTAGGTCAAAATAAGTTTCGTGAAGATTGTTTACCGAATTGTTTCCAATTCTCGTTTATTGTTTTATGGTTTAGTCAAAGAAAAAAAATTCCTCCCAATGAAACTGTTGCACTGCCTGCTTCAGTTTGTGCATTAGAGTAGTTTCTGTTCTTTATAGTTGGAAAAAAAATCGTAGCAGTTCTTGTTTCTATTAGTGAACCAAAAAAAAAAAAAAAGTAACAAATAAAAAAATAGCCCTTCGCTTTGTTCATTTTTTTTTTTTTGCAAAAAAGGAAATAAATAAATGTAGCGATAAATCACTTTGAGATAAGTTTAGCCCCCAAAATGTTGCAGCGTGTCACTTCTTCCACCTCATGTCACTATATTCACCTATATCCCATAACCTACAAAAGCTCTATCCTCAAAATTTATTTGTTTCTCACCCCAAGAGTTCAACTGCCTCATTCAATGAAGTTGAACCTCTTTGGTACTTCATTGTCAAATAACCGTAAGATCTATCAACCCTTGTCGCATAGTTAAACTCTCACCGGTAGTTACCTTATAATCCTTGCACAAATACCTATCCACCGTCCATAGTAAGAATCAAGTACCTTTGACAAAACTTCCAGCCATTTCTAAAAGTTACAAAGAGTCCAATTTTAAGCACGTATTCACTAACACCAAACATAAGCAAAAATTCCAAAATAGTATGCCAATATTACTTCATTTTGATCCCCAGAGCAAAATTTTGGTGTAGCCTTTCATGTCATGAGTTTACTTTCCCCACATGATCCTGAAATTACTCCATACAAAGATCTTATCTTGACAAGGGTTTGCCTGAATCAACCCATTCATGTCATCTAAAAATTATTGATTTGTTGTCTTATCTAATCCTATTCATGGAGCACGGGAGCTAATAAAACTAATACTCTTCTCCTAAAAGAAGTCTAAATAATATTACAAAATATTAAATATTTATTAGTGGTTTCCCCGGAGTTTCATTAGTTACATTCCAAAATGACTTACCATCAAAACTATTATATAAACAAGATTGCACATTGAGCTCAACTCCGGGCTCTAGAAAGTGTTTAGGTAGCACATGGCTATAACGTCTACATATTAACTAATGCAACAAACTCATTGTTGATTTAGACATACAATATATTATATATATGGGAACATTACCAACATAAAATATCAAAATAGATAAACAGAGTCATGAAAAAAAAAAGGTTATTAAAGATTATTAGGTAATAGAATAGTAATCATAATAGCATTGGGTAAACATGATTGCAAGGGAGTTGCGCAGCTAAAGCATGTTTCATTAAACATATTATTAATTAGCAATTATTGAAATTTTGCAATAACAAGAAGCATAATTCCTTCAATTTTGAGGTTAGAGGAAAAAAGCACTATAGCATCTATCCTTACAAGAAGCCAAGATCAAATAGATTACACAGCTGTGTCACATACTCTGACACTGGTATATCATCAAATAAACGAAGCATGAAATAGTTTGATAAATGCAACAATTTCCATTAAATACATGACCACTAAATCATGAAAGTTGCAATAAACAAGCATCAAAGTCATGCAGCGGAAGTAATTAGTAAACAAGCATCCTAGCAATTAACAAGAAATTAAAATTAGGCGATTGACTGATTCAGATAAAGACGCGAGAGAGATCATTTTCCCAGCCTAAAATTTCATGTCATTTAGCTTTTCAAATTGAATACAATCAGCTTTATCATACTCCTCTCATGAATGCCGCTGTTCTGACATCATGAACTAAACAAGTTAAGGGTCCAATCACAAGTCAAAAACTTTAAAAAGAACTTAAACAGAATAACAAGAAACATTCAGAAATCCAAAATTCAGGATCCAAATGGCAGTATGCTCCAGTGGAATCGAATATAGCACTCCTTGCCCATGTTCAGCTAGGCAATCTATCCATGCCTTTGGCCAAGTTACATACCCCGGGCATAACCAAAACAATTATGTAAAGATCGCAATTCAGGTATTGTTAGAAAACTTACACATGCTCTCTGTCAGGAAGTTTTGTTCATAAATGATAAATCAATTGTTTCTTTGATACATTACTGTCATATGCTAACTTCTATTTTATAAAATGGCAATTTTATTAGTTCCCCCAACGAATTTCCAAAATTTAGTGAAGCATTTCAAGTCTTTCCTGGCCATGTGCACTAATTACTAATCTCTCTTTGATTGATAAGGTGTAATATTTTGTCAACTAGGGAACACGAAAAGCAAATGCAGATCATTGGGAAACCTACAGCAATGCCTTAACACTCAGTACCCCCTTTTCTTCCCTGCTTTTGATCTGGTTTGACATTCAATTCTTCTTAGGAACAAATACAATTTTGCCTAATGAGTCCGCCCCACTGTTTGGATACCCTAAAATTTCTTTTCTTTCATTGCTTAATAATGAACACTGGCATAGCAATTTCTAAAATTTTTAACTCCAAGAATTCACATCTCATAATCTGAAGTGCAAAAAATAAAAAATCTCATTCATCGGTAACACCTGTAATGCCACATCAAAGAACGGTAAAATTCATTCTATCACATTAATAATCTTGTTCAGCACTTCTAGCAACACTTATATGTGGAAATCTCATAATAGATAATTAAAGCTTACATAGTTAACATAAAAAATCAGTTAAAGCAGAAATAGTATAAACCTTGATTTATTTCAACTGAAGGTCTACGCTCCTTAACCCACTTGTAACTCTCTGAAAGTTTCCAACCTTTGTTTTTCATCAAAAAGGCGATTACAATAGCTGGGGACCTGTCAAAATGGCATGAAAACAATTTTATAGTATTCATTTACGATCTTTAGATACATTAAGTTGGCTCGTAATAAAGAAAAAACTATTGTGAAGCCAACAGTAATTTGGCAAAGAGGACTTTTTCCTTGAGGGGTGGTAACAATATCATACACCAATATGGTGCTTAATTTCACTTGGTAGATTAACCATATTTTACCATATTAATTAATGTCTGTAGCATAAAGCAACTAACGAACGGAACAGGAAAGACACCCAATACCAAATCCAAATGGAAAAACTAATTAATAAAGTATTTTAAACAAAACAAAATTACTAATGCAAAAAGGTGAAAAGAAAAGAAACCCCCATTTTGTGGCAAAGCTATTTACCTGTTTTTCCCTGACATACAGTGCACAAGAACGCGAGCTCCATCTTTTTCACATTGTTCTGCGGGTCAGTATAATCAACACAATAAGCTCGAAACAGAAGTTTCTAATTAAATCATGATTGACTAGTTAAGTCCTGCAATACCAATTAAATAAAAAGGTGATGACAGGTCAACCACTCAATAGGTTGATGACCTATTTTATATGCCATGTGATAGTGTCATTATAAAGATGATAAATCTAAAACAAACCAAACCAAACCAATGCAATTCCATTTACCATATTAGGGTGCCATACTGATGCCAAGTGTAATTAAGATTTTGCTTCTTTCAGTTGTAGGAAAAGAGTGTTAAAAAAAATGGTGGGGATCAAAGGAGAAACAAAATGATCAAATTGTCAAACCCCACTTATTTGAAATTGCATAATGCACAAGCCAACCACCTCCGAGAAGATCGAGACATCTCATCAACAGAGGACACTCAACAAACTATTGAGATTGGACTCACTATGTTAATATGCAGAAATGCGGAAGAGAGAATATGTAGATAAGTTCAAAAAAATAGCTTCCAAGAAATCTAGGCCTCTTCATGTGGACCTGTAATGTTCAATGTGATCTTGAAAGTGGGTGGGTGGTTGTAAGATCGTCTCAAAATCGAGGTGATGGCACGTTTTTGGTGGCAGTCTTGGCATTGGGGTATGTGTCAATGGTGTGGTAATAGTGAGTGAATCAGATGTGCAAGAAATAGAAAGGAAGGTCACTGAAATGGGCAATGGGAGATTGCAAATGGGTTTTATTTTGAGACATACATCAATAAGATTCAGGTTCAACACCACTGGAGAGGTACTTCACGGAAAAAATTAGGCAGAAGAAAAAGTCCCACTTAGGAAAGTGGAAATTATTCTTGAACAGCCAAAAGGAAGATATTCACTTTTAAAATGAAAATATATAATGAAGACAACGAAAAAAAAGTAGTAAAAGAATCTCCAGAAGTAAGAAGAGATTTTTTCTTACAAATATTGATTCGTGAGGGTAAACTCACCTAGAAACTGGATAGCATCATTGAACGGCAATTTTGGGTCATCTTTGAGGCAATAATAGGTAAAAGAGTTTTTGTACAAATTTTGACAAGCAGGCACAGTCTGCACATAGATAAGGACCTATAAGTTACAGGGAATTGACAGATAAATGCTATTAGCAAGAAGGAAATGCCCAAGTCCTAATATTGGGGGTGGGGTGAGAAAAAGCACTCTGCATGTCTGTGCATTAAGTTCCCAAAACTAAGAAATAAAAAAATTTATGTTCATGTTTTCTGTATGGTTGAGATTGATGGCAAGTTAATAAAAAAATATTTGTTACAATTCTCCCCCAAAATCACAAGTTATGCAAGAGAAATATAGTTTAAAATACCCAAATCATAGCAGGTACCTACGACAACTCCAAGCAACATTATCACAATGTTTAAAATTTTGCCAGTTTTAGCAAATTATTAGAACCAGACTCCATCAGTAGAAAAAACACCTATAGCATGAAAATTTACGTTGCTTGTCATATATCAATGTAGAACATGTGCTTCTTTTCGTCCCATACGCTCAAAAAGAAAATGCACCAATGCATGGAATCACCACTGTTTGTTCCAATTGTTCATTCTTTTCAGAGAAAGCTACAGAGACCTCGCTTACGGTACCTGAGAGGTACACAACAGCTCCTCTAGGTTTAAAATTACAAAGACACTACCTCAAGTTCGTTTAAATAATAGATTCCCCGTTTAACCATTTTAAGGATTTTTTATAGGAAAGTTTGTGAAGTGCCTATAGGCTATAACCCTTTATCAAGTTAGTTCCATTAAAAGCTATTTCCCCCTTTTAAGTTCACTTTTTTGTCCAATATTGTTGAACTTTGAGATTAAAGTAAAGTATCTTACGTTAAAAATTTATAGTTCCAGTTACTTCCAGCTTGTATTAAACAAAATATAATATCTTCTCATTAAACAAGATTGAAACTTAACCCAGATCAATTCATCGAGGAAATTAGCAAGCAATAAATAGTTGAAGAGAAAAGGAGGAGGAAAAGAATTACATTGAGAATATGTGAGATGCGCTGAGTCCTGAGAAGCTCAGCCCTGGAGGCATTATCATAGCTGCCCAAGTAAAGAAAGTCTGGCAGAATCTCGGATGGGAAAGCACTGACATGGCCGGAGGCGGCGGCGTATTTATCGGTGACGGTGGGCATCCGGTGACCGCAGATGCCGCACACTTCGCCTTCCTCGTACTTGTGGTAGTGCCCACAAACCCCACATGGATTCTCCCTCTCTCTCTTCCTCATGATTGATTGAATTATACAGCAACTGGACCCAGCTTTAATGGATACTAGAATGAATCATATGATACAAAGGGAACAATAAAGCTACTTGTACGATAATGGATGACTACGTTGGATGATAACCATGTGACGTCAATGTCAAAATTCGGACAATATGTGAAAAATAATTTTTAATAATTTTGAAAATGAATGAATATAATAATGTGAAGTGTGTAGTTATCAGCTAATGTGAAAGATAATTTTTAATAATTTTGAAAATGAATGAATATAATGATGTCAAGTGTGTAGTTATCAGCTAATATTATCAACAAGGAAAATTCCCTGATTTTCCCAGAAATGTTACATCTGTATTTTTTTATTTTTTTTCAAAGTTTGAATCTGCACTATTGATTTCAAAAATCTGTAAAAATTCGGTAAAAATTCTCTGTACTTATAGCTCAATTCTATCAACAAATATTGTACATCTACCATGATTCGAAAGGGACACGTGTTTAGATACACATTTTCTTTTACAATTATAGGGGTGTCATTTAATTGTCAAAATTTTAATAAATTTCAATAAAATTATTTAAAATTTAGTTATCCTAATAATTGGAAAGTTTATAATAGTTTTATTAATTAAGGAATTTCAAAACGCTTGGATGGATTTCAAAGTTAAAAATAAATATAACAAACTCATTTGAAATTATACAATTTTTAGTGAGATTTTTATGAATTTGAAAATCTATTCAAATTCATGAAATTTAATAACTTTATAACATTTTAAAATTCATCAAAATTTCAGTTGTGAACCTCCCCTTACTATTATATATAAGATTGTACTGTATGTACATAATAATTTATCAACAGATAAGTTGTCGAGATTTAATTGAATCAAAATTTCATCAATTAATAACTTTTCTACTTACATTCTGATATCTCATCATTATTTTTTTATTTTGATAATCGTGGATATTTGGGCCAGCTTGCGCGCACTTCGACTAATTCCACGGGGTCCTGAAATTGATGGTCGGGTACTCACCTCATTGGTCCTCAGGGGACTCGAACTGATGATCATTGGGTAGCAAACAATATCTCATCATTATATAAAATATTATATAAATAATTATGTACAAGAAGTATTTTCTTTATATAATCATTACAAAAACAAAGCTTTAAAATTATTTATGTACAAGAAGTATAATTAGCATTTTTGAGGACTTGTTTCTCAGTTATGTAGTTAAAAGCTTATAGCACAAAGTCAATCTACTACTTTTCAAATATTATAACGTAGCACAAGGCCAAATGCTAGACTCCAATTCAATTATCTCAACCCCGACTTGAAAATTTTATGTAAAACTATCCAACTTAACACCATCCAAGACCAAGGTTCCACAGTTTGTAGTTGATAATTCGTGTAGGTACTAGGTACTACTTGTTCTTGTGAGAGAATAAACCTGCAAGTACAGGCTTTTTTTTACAAAAGTTGAACAGGGTGCTAACGTGGCAGCACCCTATTAGCCTTTTTTTTTTTATTCTTTCGATGAAAATCATCCAAGTGCAATTTCTATAGATTTTCCTGTACCTATAGCAAAGTTCTTTGTGAGATATAAATAGAATTTAATAAGATGAGATATATTTATTTAAAACATACTGAAATATAAAACTCAATTATGGGTTAAGACTGTAAAAATATTATGCACATTTGGCTAAGCATAAAAAGTCGTAAGTTTACTTATAGATGCCCTACATTTGGTCCATGTAATTTAGAATCCTAATTTGCAGTAATAAGAAAAGTATTTTCTGTAATTATATGATGCATATAGAGCAACCCTACAAGCAGAGCTGCAGAAGTTTTCAGCAGTCTCATAAATCCAGTGAAGTTGCATCCAAGAATCAAGGAATAGTTCCCTTAAGAAAGTGACTTGCCCATAATATTAGTGATACTTGAAAATCCCACTTTTCCGAGCCCCAAAAAGCAGGCTAAACGGCGTAGTCCACGGACAAGCATACACTTTGTCTAGGAGTACTTTGATTTAAAGCCTTCTGTTAGAGTGACCACTTTGGCCGACACCTTAGACTGCAATTTCAACTGAGCTTGTCGAATGTCCTGCAATTACCAAACGACAGCATAACCACTTTTATTCGTAAACTAATAAAACATTTGCAGGGGGCACTAAATACCATGCTTCTCACAACCTAAACCATAGAAACCTTGGGCCCGCCATGTATACGTTAGAAATAGAGAATCGAAGAAAAATAAGAGGAAATATGGGAAAATATAGTAAGGGGGGCGGAATGGGTGGCCCTCAACAAGAAGAGTAAAAGATTTGAAGGCAAATTCTTGCAGTAATTACCTCAATATCATAGCGGGATGAGAAATGAGTCAATACTACGGCTTTATTCCGAATCCATTTAGCATGTTCTATGATCTGCACTTTCAATAATCTCACTTGATATAAAACACTGACTGAGTTCTGATGGTTAAAGGGTCACAAGTACATATTTTCTTGCAAACAAAAGGTATTATGTCGCAATATAATTGCATGGATTAGCCCAAAAAAAAAAATCTATATAATTGGGGCAAGTATTTCAAACTTCCGAATACCTCAAATAGATGGGTATGGCCATGGTCTCGTGCGTGCTCAACACTGACAGTTTCATCCAAAAATGTCGCCTATCCAAACATAACATTCACCTATTAGAACTAGGATTCCAGCATTTACTGCCACACAGAAACTTCAAAATAGTTCACAAACACTCATCAAATTTACGCCATTGTAACTCGACAGGAAGAAATGGAATATGAACGTCCTACACCATCATTTTTTCATTAATTTTTTTTTTTTTTGGCAGGTTAATCAAAATTCCAAAATCATTAAATATGCATTAAACCAAATATACAAAACTGATGAAGAAAGACATTTCAAAAAAGGCGACACAAATTGATGAAAGTACCGTGTCCATTCATCTAAATATTTAGAGTTGAAAAGCAATCCCCATCTTTGATGTTTACGCTACTTGACAAAGGCAACTAAATGGTTGCATCTTAAACAACTGAGTTAAATTCTTACACGGATTTTGAAGTCCTATTTATTTGGTAGTTGTAGTTCATCTCTGTCATACAATTATTTTTATTTGATTTGACTTTTAGATGGACAGTGATGATTTTGGGTACTTGCAACAATTACTTACATGCAAGGTCCCAACAGTTTCAATAGCCAAGGAAAAAAAGACTTGAGCAATATTTTACTTTCTGAGGGAAAGATTATTTATAAAGCAATTAAATGCTAAACAATTAAGATGAATTACTTCGGTTATAAGAATTTTTGCGCGCAAGGCATCAGCACTTCGTGGATCAAGGAAAAAATCTGACATTGTATCTCCTGTGAAGGCTACCTCGGGGCACAAGATTGTATCTGTGATCTGACAAATAAACAATTATGTAACAAAAAATCCGTTTCTGGGCACCAAAAAATGCATTTTGAGAAAGTAAATGTGTGGAAATCTGGTCTTATATACCTCAACACCAGACTTCTTCAGTTTCTCAATTTGCGTTCCTTTTAGATGCATGTATTGCTTTTTCAGCTTCTTTCTAACAGAGTAAATAACATAACCCTACAAATACAAGGAAATTTTCATCATGTGCAGCAAGTGATTTTTTATTTTTTTCTAATAAAGCACCATCACACCCCAGGTGTTTTTTTTAGGCTCCACCAAGACAGGTTAGAGGGGGTTAGGATTCCCCTACCATGTGCAGCGAGTGGTTTGCTATGTTAAGCAAAACAATAAAGACTGAAAAATAAATAACAAAATATGTAAATTCATAGTATTGAGAATTTTTTCTTCAGGTCCTGAATTTTTGTACAAAATGCAAGTTGCATTATTTCAGTACAAACCATGCACGAGATAGTCCAGCAAGTCATTGGTTAAAAGCAATCAAGATTTGATTGTTTTGCAGTTTGCACTGTCAAGTGTTAAAGTCTAACCAATTTATTTCATGTATCAAATTATAAAAATGTTTGCAGAAATCTTTGGCCATGTATGCATAACATGGGCTGGCCTAGTAGATTGCATAAAGTGAAGAAAGGTGGACCGTGACTAGAAATTTAACAAGCGAAACATAATTTTTCAACCATCATGAATTGTGTTGCTCGGGGTAAAAATGAATTCGTGCAATTGTTTCGTCCAGTATATGCTATGTGAGAAATCAAATCATATAGACTATATGCAATCTTTTACCATGTCGGCATAAAGATAGGTCTGGTGGGCCGTGCATAACGAGAAGGGAGTCGGGATGGTGCCCATTGAAAAAAAGCAACTTAATCTCGAACTTTCCACCATTGTGAATTGTTGAATTGCAGTGTAAACACTTAGTTAATGCAACAATACCTGGCTGGGTATAACATGGTGAGTTTTAAATGGTCGTACAACGAGGTCATTCCGCATTTCATACGTCTCCCCTGAGGCAAATTTATGAATTATGTACAGAACTAGATAAATAAACAGATCAATGAAGACATCTGAAGCTGTCCAAATTTTTACCTACATCCAAAGCAACCAAATCAAAGTTCAGTTCCACTTGACCCATGGTCCTGTGAATACCAAATAGCTTTTCAACATCCTCTTTTATGCAGGGAGGCACAACCACCGTTGGAGGTCTTAAGCTGTATAAACCACGAGTTGCTACATACATTGGAAGTCCACCCTGAATCAGTGGATATGTGAAAATTCGCTGTAACCTCTGTTTCCAGGTGCTATGTTATGCAAAGTGCAAACTTTACATGCAGTTGAAGAAACTTCTAGAAGTGTTGACAAGGAATAATGGTTCTTGCATCCTCATTTATAATTCTTTTAAGATTTCTTAATTGTAGAAAAGCATATCATGACTTGAGACATTTGCTCCTAAAATCATTATTGGATCATAATCCAAGTACAAATAAGAATTGTTCCTAGTTTGCAACACAGAATGATTGAGAACCAGTTTTCTTACTTATAATGCATTTAAATGGCATGTACAACCACAAAGAAGTCTGAATTGTGCAAATATCAAAAATCACAATAAGATCAAATTTTATGTCCTGCTTGCACATTGAAATGAACTGGAAGTTAAATCCTCATGTAAGTTGAATCAAGTAAAAAAGAAATCAAAATATGAGCATGACCGCACAAACCACTGTTTAATTATTATATTATCTAAATGGTTCTATTAGCAGTACTACTATACAAATGTGCTCCAGTTGTACATTACCCAGATGCTGCAGCCTGCAGCTATTGCACTAGCACTAAGAAAACCAATACCTCAACGAATTAGGGGAATTCTTAGCATGCTCTATATAATTGCATGTAAGACAGAAGCGGAATTGATTTAAATTCGAATTAAAGAAATCAGAAATCTTACAATGTGATCAAGATGAGCATGGGTAATAAACACGAAATTCTGCTGAACAGCTCTAGAAGGGCACCTCCCAATATCAAAAGCAGACTTCAATTCAGGAACAATAACACACGTCTCATGTCCACCAATCGACAACCCTTCAACGGAATAGCCTTCTAAACCCAACCCCTTTCTATTCACCTCAGCCCTAGCTTTTCTGTACTCTTCCTCTTCGATTGTCCTCCCAATTGCTGACAGGAAACCCGACCCTTTAACCACTGCAGCAGTTGCAGTTATTGGGCTGCATTTATTATGGGGAATTCGAACTGGGAAATGGGGTATGCGAATGGGCTGATGAAATATAGAGAGATTAGGCAAATTTGAGACATTGATTTGGGGAGATATCAGTTGCATGTTTGGATAAATCAAATCAATTGAACAACGTAGATTTAGGAGCGTTTCTCTGTCTAATGTCTAGGGAGTAAATCATGTTTGGCTAAGGGGTCTTGTTTAGTTAGGGCGTGTTTGTCTCCCATTATTGTGAAAAAAATAGAGTAATGAATATATTTTTTGGAGAATATATGATTAGAAAGTAAAGTAATTTTATTGATTTGCATGTAGAATATTTTATTGGGTGAATGTGTGGTGAAAAATCTTATTGTAGCAAATAATTTTTTAAAATAATGATAGACAAATAAGGATTTAATAATTTCAAAACGATGTTGTTTTGGCATTGTCAACAACAACGTGGTTCATATGTTTTCAATAAAACAAAAAAAAAAAAACAAACGTAGTTTCGCGTCAAAGTAACAATGGAAACCCATTTCACATTTGTCTCTCTTACAACCATTTCTCTTTGGTACATTTTTCTCCATTTTTCCACGCAATCGCCCCTATCTCTTTACTCCATTTATCCATACAACAATCCATACTTCTCATTTTTTCTTCTCTCTTTTCATTTCTTCTCCTTCCAAGATTTTCTATTTTGTCAGAGTTTTTCGATATTGACTAAATAAGTTTAAGTTTTAAGAAAAAGTAATTTATCGCTGCTTATTTTGGAAATAAAAAAAGGTAGTCAAAATAAGCTTAATAAATGTTTAGTTTAGTCATATGTTGTGTAGAGAAAATTAAAATCTATTAAATCGAGCAAGTAATTTTGGTTATTTCAACTATTAACAAGAAAGATAACTCATTTTGATTCGGAAAATTTCTACTACTCCAAATATCAAAGTAACTCGAAATTAATACGTAACAACTAACAACAATTAAAAACCTAGACGAGAAGAGCACATCTTTACAATTAAGGAAAAACGTAGTAAGAGTTCACGATCAATCATTGTCATATTTGTTGAAAGATCCAATTTCTTGTTTTTATATACTAGTCAAAGTTAAATGTGCATTGCACGTTATCTTAAAATACTTTTTATACGTACTATTTGATATGTCTCAAACGAACTAAATGAAATAAAATTTAGGATGTGTTTGAGTTACATTATTTTGGAAGAATGTATTTTGAAATAGTAGATTGATGGAGAGTGTGTGGTTGAAAAGGAAGGAAAAGTTCTTGATGTGATGAAAAATATTATTTTATTTAAGAATGTATTGTTGAAAATGAGTAGAAGACTGAGAATGCAAATTTTAATGTGGCTCAAAGAGGGTATTAGGATACAAATTTAAGAGAAGAAAATTGTGCTCTCAAAATTCAACTTCTATTATTCATATTTTTTGTGATGATGAAATACTAAAAATGAGCAACTTTTTTATACTACATTTGGTATATAAGTATTAATTTTTAATACATGAATTTAAACACCAATTAAAATTCATAGATACATGAATAGAATTAAATTCATCTATAATAACTTTAGATTTATATAGATTAAGATTCATCCAGTCAAGAGACTAGATTAATGTAAATTTTAATTAATTGAGAATTAATAACACGAAATTCATACAAGACAATAATTTTGTAAGAATTAATTGCTAGGGAGATGCTACGTGTACACAATGGTGTACACACGGCTTTACATTTCCTTAACATGAAGGAGGGCCCACATACAATAAAATATTCGTGGGCCCCTCCATATGAGGGGGGGTGTAAAGTCATGTGTACACATACCATTTTTCTAATTGCTAATACATGAAATTAAAAACCTATTAAAATTTTTAGATACATGAATAGAAATAAATTCATTTATAATATCTCTAGATTCATATAAATGAAGATTCAACAATCAAGATTCATTGAGTCTAAATTAATGTGATTGTTAATTAATTGGGAATTAATAACATGAAATCCATACACGATAAGAATTTTATAATATTTATTACATATTGAAAAACAAAAAAAATAAGGTACTATTGAAATCGTCCAAAAAATGATTCTCACTTGATGTAATATTCGCCTTCTATTTATAAGAAAAGCCTAGTTAAATGAGATCTCAATATTTTGAAAATATTTTCACAATATAAACATTTTCAATTCCATTTGAAGCGGATAAAAAAAATGTCAGATATATATATATATATATTTGCAGTAGTATATAAAAAGGCTATTGATCAAAATTTTCAATGAACAAAATATATTTTTAAGGAGCACTAGGGTTGGGCATTTTTAGACGAAAGAATGATCTTTCAGGTTTTGTCTTTGTATCACAACCTTCACCATATCTATCCTACACATAAGATCAAGGTTGTCCCCGTGAATCTATAGGGAAGGTGCTTGGTCTTTCTGTGGAACAGTTGATACTACGATCTTCATTGAGAATGCAATTGATATAGTGTTGCATGAAGAATTCAATTTCACCACGGCAATGTTGCTACTTATAAGACGATTTAGCTATCTTAGTGAAGTTTATATTTGTACATTGTGTTAGCACAAAACCTGCATTGCTACGCCTCGAAATGTGTCATTTTCGTACCAAAAGTTAGGAGAGCACCCCTTCTCCCAAAGTTATGGGATCATGTGGTCTAGTTCATTTGATATGGTTATCTCAAAGTACCATAGTATTCTCTACTTGCACACTTGTGTCATTTAGCATCAGATGAAGACAATCACGCCCAATTTAAAGTTTTTTCCTAAAAATTTCAACATTATTGACTATGATAAGAGTATCGAATATTAAAAGACTCATGCATATTACCTGCTCTCTATTCACACCTCTATTGACATAGACCAAAGTGTGAATAAAGACGAACAAAGATCGGAACTTGTTGATTTCAATTGAAATAAAAAATGTTCAAAGAATACAGTTAAAACCCTTGATTCACTTAGAATATCAAAATTGACAATCAAGACTCGTTGATTCATTCACGAATACCAAAATTTGATTCTTATTGATAGATTGTTGATTTTGAATAATATTGAATTATCGATGCAAGATCGAGACAAACTCGAGTATATACAAATAAATGATCAAAGGCCAATTTCCAATGCTTTGCGGATGTGAGTTTGAAAAAAAAAACTCGACTTAATTCACAAGTTACTTCAAATTGCATTGAAGGACTTGTGGATGATGTATTCATATCGACACTAGACCAATAATATCCGTCATGGACTACTCTTAATGATCTCGCGAGATGTATATTTATTCGGATACGACTATTGGTACCATACAACCATAGGGAAATTTCATAATATTGAGTGTTATCTTCTCATTTCAAATGATATATTTTGAGGATTTACACCAATTTTGTTGTATATGTGGTTCATATAGAGTGGAACACATGTTTACTAAATCAAATTAGTTGATGTCGGAGCGGAATGCATCAGACGAAATGGGGGCAACTACCCCGTGATGCGGTACATGTGTATTTCTTGTACGGGCCTTAAAGTCTTATACGGGTTAGAGATAGGGTTAGTATAAATACTGAGTAACCATATTATTCATACCGAATAAAATCACCGCTTCGCTCGTTGTGGACATAAGCATATCGTTGAACCAAGTTAAATACTTGTGTTGATTTATATCTTTCACTTCTCTAATATTTGCGTTTAAAATCCAACAAATCTCTCTTATTCTCCTTATCTCTTCATTTAAGACGTATGCAAGACTACCTCTTTCATGGGGATGCACATACAATGCATTTTTACATGAATGTCACAATGTTTCTTGTTGACCTCGAAAAATGGCTCGGACACGTGGCCAACAGGATATGTCTTCAAGTTAAATCCTCCTGCACACGTAGCACGCCGTCAGTCACTCGTGGCCTCTCCCTGNATCGATATAGTGTCCATAAAATTGACAAATATAAGGGAAATGATGATACTTGGTTTCGCAATATGTAGGAGAGCGAAATGGGATTCCAATCCTTTTTTTGGCACAAGGAAGGGATATTTATACTAAGGATGGAATGATAAGGGCCGTTGGATGAGGAAACACGTGTTGCCGGATCCTCAAGGCTCGTCTCATCCTAGGTGTCACTCTGTCCTTCCATAGGTCTACCGGTATTGAATGTTTTGGATGTAGGCTGCTGATTTGACCGTCTGATGACCTGTCACACGTCCCATCAGTCAGAAACTTGACTTTGGGAAGATCTTTGTACAAAAGATCTTTGTAGAGACGAGGTGTGGCGGGTGAAGCATTGCAGCGTGGTAGAAGCGGAGTGCGGGCCTTTGCATCCACTGCGTGCTTGTGGATGAGTTCCGTTCATTCGCCGACGCGTGTTCAGTTCGTTCCTCATGCGCTCACCTCGGCATGTACAATTAGTTCGTCCCTTATTCAATCACCTCGTTCGACACGTGGCTTGGGCCACGGGTACGGACACGTGGTGGACGAGGTGTCGGGTCTGGCACAGGCCCGTAACATTTCTCATGCATCATTATGAGACAATAACATACATCGATATTATAATGAATATCCATGTACATTGATTAAAATAATCAGATCATATGTAGTTATCTAACAACATATTGTATTGTGGGTACATAACAACGACAACCAATCTCGTGAATTCATATAGGAGCACATTATAATATAGATTATGGTGTTTAGCATCAAGAGCTTCGTTCTTCCACATTTTGCACAAATCATACACTTGAAGTCTAAAGTGTCCAAGAATCGTCCTATCGATCATATAAATGGTTAAAATAATCAATATAGGTCTGACTACTAGTAGACATATCAAAAGGGGGTTCCAGATTGAAGCTAGGAATGATAAGACACTACTTGGAAACGAAGAGCCAAATTAAGGAAAATTGTCAAGTAAAACTTTAATTAATATGCATTATGAAGTTTTCTTTAGTTATTCGATTGTAATTTTGTTTATTTATTAAGGCTAAAAGATTTTAAATACAACTATTTACCTATATTTAATCACGTTATTATTCAGTTCACTGGCAATATTGAAAAAATAATTATTTAAACGAGATTATTGATTTATCGATAACTCATGTATCAAGAGTACTTCATAACATAAAATTTACCGTGTGTGAAAGTTAAGAACGTAAGAAGATGAACTTTGAAGGGGAGTGAGGTCGGAGCAATCGAGCATTGTACTAATTAAATACAAGTTTTGGGCATAACCCATTTAGGGGCTTACCTTGAAGCTGCCTCAAATATCCTACCATTCACTTCCCTTAAATCACAATGGTTCAAGTAAGCTAAGTCGATGATTTTCTGATTAAGAATCATTGGATCATCATTTATTTCATGAATAGAACCAAACGAATATACAAAAATAAAATATAAAATTGAACCCACTGGCTCGCTCTCATTGCTACTTTGAACCTGATAATTAATATTTGGGCAGATTGTATTGTTTCAATAAAAATATTTAAAATGTAAAATTGATATATTTAAAAATGGTAAAACTAAAAATTCAAGTTCCCCATGCTTGAGTGGATAATATAATGGAATTATATCCAGTATATTGGGTAACAAAAACCAAAAATAATTTTAATTTTATTATACAACATACGAGAAATAATTAACAAAATATTCTTAACCAGATTTTAAAAAACCGATCTATTTTTCTCCGATTAACGCAAGCACTCCACCCCCTTGAATCCTTGATGCACCCCAAAAAGTTATTCAATATTTCATCAAATTTATTGGTTTAAATTTCAAAAAATCTAGAACTTAATCCAATAATAATAATAAAAAAAAGAAATCGAAGAAAAGAACATGATGCTAGAGCGAGACTTGCTTCTTGTAGCCGTTCTCTTTGGTCTCCGCATTCTTCTTCTGCTCTTTGAGTTTTAACCACGTGATTTGCGAATGTTTTGCTCTCTGATTTTGAATTGTTGGCTGTTGCTATTTCGCGCGTTTACTCGCTAACAATTAAAAAGGGATCAGGCGATTGTGGGTTCGAATCCCACTGGGCGTGCCAAATTGTTTCGCGCGTTTACTCGCTAACAATTAAAAGGGATCAGACGATTGTGTAAGGGACAAACCTCTTGGAACAAAGTCCTAAAAAGGGGGTATTTATTGAATATGAAAATTACAGTTTGGATGCGAACAAGATACCTCAAAGGGGCGCAATCACACAAGTACAAGGGAATTGAAATAATTTAAAGTTAATTTAAGAAAAAATAAATTACATATTCTCTGTTTGAGAGTGAATTTTGTCGGGGCTATCTTCGTTGTCTTCTTCTTTCTTTTATACGGTTTGGACAGTTTTTAATCGCTTATAAACTGCTTGAAACCACCCATTTTCNAATGATAGGACGTCGTCGTCACAGGGGCTGTGGGCGACTTAATCGTTTGGGCGATGATGGACTCATAGCTCTTGGGCGACTGCAGGGTATTCTATTCGTTCAAGCTCTGGGCGTTCTGCAAGTTTGGGCGACAAAGCTCCTTCGTTTTTGGGCTTTCATCATATTTAATGATATTTTCTTGTTGGGCTTTCACCCTGATATCTCTAAATGAGTTTCTTCTCTTGGGCCATTTTCTTTCTTGGGCCATTTGAATTGGGCTGTATATTTTGTGTGTCAACAGTTGCAATTTTCGGCACGGAGGATAGCGGTTGAGCGAGGATGACCATTTTCAGATTGAAATAAGGTAGAAATCGATTACTGATTGGAAGACGGAAGAATGAGGAATGAGGTGAGTTGGGTTTTGTTTTGGATTTTTTTTTTTTTTAAAAAAAAAGGCAAAAACGTGTTTTGAAATACACATGGGACAAGTTTTTTGCTGACTTGGAGGTCAGAGCCAATTTGGCTTGATTTTAGAGTAATGCTATTCATCCCCATTGGAGATGAAAATACAGTTTACGTGACGTTAATTTGACATTAAATGACAGATGAAATTATTAAGTCATTTCATTTCACCTTTCATTTAACATATCATTTAAAGTCACATAAACTGTATTTTCATCCCCACTGGGGATGAATAACATTACTCTTGATTTTACTTTACTTTAGGTGCCACACCAACTTTCTATCCGCCACATCAGAGAAAATGTTAGCACCATGTTTGATGCCTATTCTTTTGAAATAGATTTTTCTCCATCTTATTTTCGACTACATATTTTTCAATAAAATAATATTACACACAAATTAATTTTTTTTATATTTTAACTAAATATTTTCCATCAAAACACTATTTAAAATGCATTTTTGAGAGAATAATGTGGCTCAAACATGGTCTAGATTTTTTTGGGGTGATAGATAGAGTGCAAACGCACGAAGTTGAGTGGGTAGTGTGAAACATATTAAAGTTCGGTGAGTACTCGTGACAACCGCATAAGAGTATCTCCAAGAAATTCTTTAAACACGAGATACTCTCTATTTTAAAGAGTTAACTTTTAAAATCACGCTCCAAGAGACTCTTTAAATTAACATTTTAATTTAAAGAGTGGGAGAGCCAAACTCACCCTCTATAATTAAATGTATTCAAAGTGTTTCAATTTTCAATGTTGAAAAACAATAAAATAATTTAAAGAAAAACTAGTTAAAATAAAAGACAAACAAAAATAATAAATATTTTTTGGGAGTAGTAAAATTAAGTGTTAAATTTAAAGAGTTTGTAGGAGTATTTGAAAATTTTAATTCTCTAAATTTATATATGCTCTCCAAATGATAGAATATACAGTTTAAAAATAAAGAGTTGGAGATGCTTTTAAGTTGAGAAATATTTAAAACAATTAACTCTAAATCACAGGTCCATAAAAATATTCTTAAAGCCCAATTAAAAGGCTAGCCAATCAAAGAATAACCCGACATCAGTTTTGCAAAAGGGGGAAGAGCAGAGAGGCCTAGGTTTTCTTTCCCGGTATCACACCAAGAAGTTGGGAACAAATTCATCACCCCCCGCACCAATTCATCTTATGTTGCAGTGATTTCTCCTCAACTTCTTATCATCAAACTTGGAAGGTAGTATCGGATTGTATTAGTGTTAAAAACGGGCTTTATATGTTGTAATCGACTCGATTTGTTTGTTCTGAATGATTTAATTTGAACTCAGCTCCTTATAATTTATTTTATTTTTCCAGAATTGTTATTTCTTGACGGTAATCATTCTCTAGCAACAGTAATTTTTTCAACAATATTTCTCTTGAATTTTTGATGCGGTTTTTTTATGGTTTTCCATTGCCTTAAAAACTGGCTGCCCCTCAAGTGTAATTGGTGAAATACCCGGGACCAAAATTTGCAGAATGCATTTGTCAAAGTGATTGTTTTTTTATCTTCTTTTCTTATACATATAGATCGTGGATGTTATTTTGCATGGAAAGTGACTGAGGAGGGATACATGTTAACTAGATGGTGGAACCATATAAATCATGTTACGAGGAACACATTGTTTAGCTTACAGTAAAAATGAATTTGCAGACACACCTTCCTGCATAGATATCACGACTGGTACCAAACAAGGCTGGTACTTCATTGCCTGGGCTACCGCAGCAAAAACGAAGTCCCTTGCCTGCACATATAAAAAATCGTGGTGTCTATCGTATTGTTATGATCATGGACTCTGAATTTGCGAAAGCACGCAGATGTATGACAGAAAGGATGTAAGCCTTTTAATTTTTTATGTCCTTCATAAATATGCTTTTCTTGTTGTGTTAATGATTTTTTTAATTTTTCTCAATTGGATGGTGTGCTGTTGATGGATTGATGGTCCTTGTTAGGAGTTAATAATATCTTTTATCTGCTTGGCATCAAGTCTTTGTGGTGCTGCATGTGTTGTAGCCTCAGACCTTATTCAATTTGAATGTGGCTGATTTGTGCTCTATTACAGAAATTTCCGTAAACTAATCCATAATTGCATTATGACTCATTGTTCACTATTCTGAGCTTTGCTTCTAAAATTCAACTGCAATACCTGTTTACTTTGCCAGCCAGCCTCGCTCACACACACGCAATACACTCCCCCCCCCGGAGGTGGATCCACACTTTACTGATGTTTAATAATAGAAAGGTGCTTTGAAGTTATTTGCATCTAAATATTTGCTATCAAATTTTATAAAACAACACTTTTCCATTGAAATAACTTTTCTTATTTTACTTTCTTTAAGTAAGATTGACCACTTTTTCTAGATTGTAAGTAATATATGACCAGGAGTAATACGTTCATGTTTTGCTTGTGTTCTGGCTTGTTGAAATCAGTAAAGTCTACTGCTGCATTGTGGTGGCATAAATTTAACATACTATACTAGGTTTTTGAGATGATAGATGCATATGAATACAAATTCCTAATAAATTAGTTTACAATGACTTCTCAGTAGATATATAAGCTGAAAAATGTTATATACTCTTGGTGTCGTATAATATTATTTGTTGCAACTGTTCCTAAATATTTGGGTGCTCTCTAAGCAACACTGGACATTAATACTTGACATGAACATGACTCTACAAGACACGGATATACTAACACACAATTTTTTTCAAAAAAAGTACAGGACTCATTAATATAAATTCTTTAAAAAACTCTAAATTTTTCAACAAAGGCGACACTTTTTATATAGTGGAATCTTTTGGCTTGGATTATTTATTATAGGTAGGATTATTTTTGTATAAATAACTCTTGAATTTGATGAATAAAGAAATTTACCCTAAATTCCAAGTGGATAAACAATTGTGGGCTGATGAAATTGTCTTCTCTGTTGTGCAGCTATGAGTTTCTCATGCAGCGTCGACAACAAACTCTTGGTCCTCCCCCTAAGAAACTACTGGATATAGTAAAACGCTTAGAGGAGGGTCTGTTGAGGAGTGCTAAGACCAAGGTTTGTTATATTTTTATTTTTGTAATGCGATTTTACATCTGTTTAGCGGTGTTGAACATCAATTAGGGCTCTTTATTAAGTGAATAATTAACTGTTAATCATGTAAACATGTTTTCATTTTTTCTCTCTTTTCTTGCATTATCAGGAGGAGTATCTAAACTTGCAAACCTTGGAGAGTCGTTTGCATCTGCTGATTAGACGGATGAGTAACCACAACCAGCAATTTTCACACGCTAATACTTCCTCTTCCATTGGTACAATGATTCCGACTCCTGGATTACCTCAAACAGGGAATTCAATCCTGACAAGAACTTCATCCGTCGATAGTTGTGTTGCTGCTAACAATGGTAATTCAATTGCATCCCCCACTGTCAATACTGGAGTCTTCTTGCCAGCTGGAAAGGGGCCTTCTGGGACTGTGCATGATTTTTTTTAGTTCACTTAATGCTTCCTTATTTTCTTATTTCTCTGTTAACGAGTAAAGCTATCAACTTGCCTTTGCTAATTCCTGTCTCACAAGACAAATATTTGCAGGTACTTTGGCTAGTGGATATCAACAACCATCTTCCGGTTTCTCAATCAGTTCGGGTGGAAATAGCATTTTGACTTCCATGGGTGTACCGAGAATGACCAGCCAAATGATACCCACTCCTGGATTTAGTAATCCTCATAATGATGTGAATAATAATGCCAATTATCAATCTTCCATGAACCCAGAGTCATCTAATAATGTTTGTGCATTTCCAGCTGTTGAACCTACTATTGTATCACAGCCAATGCAGCAAAATCAACATGTTGGTGGTCAAAATAGTCGTATGTTGCATGGTATTAGTGGTCATATGGGTAGGTCCACCTTGCAGCCAATGTCCTATGGAGTGTCATCTGGGTCCTTAAATGGTGGGCTAGGGGTGGTTGGAAACAATATACCGCCAATGAATGGTCCGGTTACTTCAGAGGGCTATTTACTGGGAACCATGCATGGGAACTCCCCAGAACCCTCACACCAACATTTCAATCAACATCAGCGACCTGAAATGCAGGGTACTCTCTCTCTCTCATAAAATGTGTAGAACATCTTTCTGTTGCCTTTTACTTGCACCCTTACTGTAACTAGGCCACTTGCAGGTGACAGATACGAACTTGGTCCATCTGATGCTTCGGGGTCTGGAAACATGAATATTCCTGTAACCACTGTTGAGTCAGGGATGAACGATAAGAAATTTAATGCAGTGTCCTTGCAGTCCATGCCCAATTCAAACCCTCCTTTGATGGCGAATCAGTTGAATATGCATGCAACTCAACAGGTGATAAGAATGAAGCCTAAACAATTTCAAAAGCCTTCGTATCACTTTCAGCATCAGCAACTTGGTCAACATCAACCCCAACAAGAGCAGCAAAGTCAAAGACACCAGCTTTTGCTAAAGAATGCTGCCTTTTCAGAGTCTCAGCTGCCATCTGATATAGGTTCTAAAGTAAAGCCCGAGCCTGGAACAGAGCACTATGATGAAAATACACGCTCACAAGTCTCTGAGCAATTCCAATATTCTGATATGCAGAATCAGTTACCACACAATTCTTTGGAAGACCATTGTAGAAGTTCTCAGTTCCTTTCACAACCATCTTACTCGCACGATATCTGTTCATCAGTAGCTCAAACTTCTGAGCACATGCAACAACTTTCGCATCCGCATCAATTTGCTCCTAATTCTCAAAGTGATTTTAGTGGTTTTTCTGGTAGTGTCCAATTAGATTCAACGACGCATGATTTGTGGTATCCCAAGACTCATGATGGGTCTCATATGGCAGGGAAATTCCTTCAGGATCAAATTGTGCCAGAGGAGTTTCATCAGAGAATACCTGGGCAGGATGTAGCTGAGCGAAATAATCTATCCTCAGAGGAATCAATGATTGGTGAACCTGATGCTACCAAATCAGCAGAACCTCCAAATGTGGGGGGTTCTGGGTGCAGATCTGGTAACAGTAATCGTGAACTACAGTTCAAGAATCAACAGAAATGGCTGTTACTTTTGAGGCATGCTCGTCGATGTCCTGCTCCAGAGGGGAAATGTGATCCTAATTGCACAAATGTTCAGAAACTGTTGAGGCATATGGAACAATGTAGTGTATTTCAATGTCCATATACTCGCTGTCGTGCTACAAAAGTTCTGGTTAATCATCACAGGCATTGTAGGGATACAAGTTGCCCGGTTTGCATTCCTGTAAAGAATTATGTGAGGTCATATCTAAAGGCATATGGTCGCCCTGATCTGGTTTCTGGTCTGCCAAGTTCAGTCAATGGATCTTGTAAGTCCTATAATACTAGTGAAATTATGGGTATGTCGACACGCAAGATGAGTCCAGCTATTGCAGAAACTCCAGACGATTCGCAGCCTAATGTTAAACGCCTAAAGATGGAACAAGCCTCCCAACCTCTTGTGCCTGAGAGTGAGAGTTCTGCTATACCAGTTCCGATCATAAATGAACCTCATTCCCTCAAGGATGCACAGCGTATTGAACAACATGTTAATCCTTGTGTGACAATGGAACTGGAAGTTCCCAAAGTAGAGATGGACATTTCTGTAAGTAAACAAGGAAGTCCTAAAAGTGTTGAGATGAAAAATGAAAATTTGGATGACACCCACCTCCAGAATACTGAAGACTCTACTATCAAATCGGAGAATTCTGTTGTACTGAAGGTGCAGGAGGTCATTAAGATTAAGAAGGAATTGGACCTGGGTAAACAAGAAAATACGTCTATACCTTTAGAAAATGCATCCAAGTCTGGGAAGCCAAACATAAAGGGAGTGTCATTGACAGAATTGTTCACTCCTGAGCAAGTCCGGGAGCACATTGCAGGTCTTAGACAGTGGGTTGGCCAGGTAATTTGGTAGAACCTTATCCAATGCTTTCATTAATTTTTAATTGGGGTTAGTGGGAGTGCAGATGTATAAGTTATATCATTGTTTCAGCACCATTAAGTTGCTGGCCTATTTGCTGCATTTCGGCCACTATAGAAATTATTAAATTTGTCAGTAGCACTTCTTGGATTCAATCCTACTAAATTCACGTTTTCTTTTACAGAGCAAAGCAAAAGCTGAAAAGAATCAAGCAATGGAACATTCAATGAGTGAAAATTCTTGCCAGCTGTGTGCAGTTGAGAAGCTTGCCTTTGAACCGCCGCCTCTATATTGTACACCTTGTGGTGCTCGCATAAAAAGAAATGCAATGTATTATACCATTGGAGCTGGAGATACTCGTCATTGCTTCTGCATTCCATGTTACAATGAGGCTCGTGGAGACACCATCATGGCTGATAGAACTCCTATTCCAAAGGCAAGGTTGGAGAAGAAGAAAAATGATGAAGAAACTGAAGAATGGGTATGTTATTTCTGCTTTTTATAATATTTTTTGACTATGAAACTGTTCCGTTGAGATACTAAGTAATCTGCTTTGTGCAGTGGGTTCAATGTGACAAGTGTGAAGCTTGGCAACATCAAATATGTGCATTATTTAATGGCAGAAGGAATGATGGTGGACAAGCTGAGTATACATGCCCAAATTGTTATATAGCAGAAGTGGAAAGAGGAGAACGTATGCCATTACCGCAGAGTGCCGTTCTTGGAGCAAAAGATTTGCCTAGAACAATTTTGAGTGACCACATTGAGCAGCGACTGTTTGGACGATTGAAGCAAGAAAGACTGGACAGGGCGATGGCTCAAGGAAAAAATTATGATGAGGTAATTCAGTTGACAGAAATATGAGAATGTGTAGAATCAGCAGTCGCTTCCATTGTCCTTGAATTTAGATAGTTTGTATTTCAAGAAATCTACGTTCCATGTGTTGCTGATGAATATTTTGAATTTGTTATCGTGGTCATCTTATACTAGAGATTCTTATGGGGTTTAATCAACGTTCGTTGATACTATTTTAATAATTTCGAATATTCATGTGGTTCTGAATTGGATAAGGGCTCCTAAAGAAACTTTTGTTGTACTATCTAATAGAGTTCGAATTTGGTCACTTATGTTAATTATGGAGAATATGGCACTGAAATATCATAGTAATCATCTTAGTGTTGTGGAACTATATTCTGTTATGTTTTATGAATATGCTGTTAACGCTGGCTTCGCATTAACTAATGGAGATTTCTTATACTATTTTGATTGTAATGTCTTTATTGATTGCCTTTTGTTTTCAACCACATATCATAAAATAATATAACACTCATATCCAAAACTTTTCTTTATCTTTTAATCTCACATTCTCCATCAACCTACTATTTCAAAATACATTCTACACCAAAAATGGGGTTCAAACTGGACTGAAATTTGGATCCCATTTCCTCTTTCACAGGTTCTATTGGTCTTCAAGAATATGAAAACCTACTATATTTCCTTCTTTGGCATTTGGCAAATCTTCTTCATTTTCTTTTCTTATTTTTTGGCTGTGGGGGTTGTCTTCATTGCGTATACTTGTGCATAAATCCTCACATTGAAGTTCTAATATAGTGCATTCCAATGGTGTAAACTTTTACTTTTTGGTTTTCTATTTGTAATATATTTCCCTCTTACCTTTGTATTTTGTATTCTTCTTTTTCAGTTATGTGATTACTGTTACATTGATTTTTCCAGGTTCCTGGAGCAGAAGCACTTGTTCTGAGAGTTGTATCATCTGTGGATAAGAAGTTGGAAGTTAAACCTAGGTTTCTTGAAATTTTTCAAGAGGAAAACTATCCATCGGACTTTGCATATAAATCTAAGGTAATAAGACCAAAAATGTAATCTTCCAAGTTGCCATACAAATCTAGGGTAGGCTGTACACAATTTAAACGAAAATTGCTTATGGTGATCTAGATTAAACAGCACAACTCTATGATTTCAAGGTCCTTGTAAAGAGGTTCCCAGTTTTAAGTTCATCTATAATTATATGAATACACACCATTTTGAAAGAATTTAAAATAATCACTTTTCTTTAGTGCTTTGACTGGCTGCTCTTATTTCCTTTCATCTTCTTCTTATGTGAATTGATGGATGCTGACCTCTGAGCCTTCAATGTTATTAAATCCATCTGATCTGGTTATAGAAATTCAAGTTGAAATACATCCTTGCACATTTAAGTAGACTTCGTAGTTTTCTATAATTATGACGTATGACATGGAAAACTAATTCTGACAAGATTACACTTATTAAATTGAATCTGGAAAATGTCATCAATAAACTTCTTGAGCTACGAACTAAAATTTGCATCTTCCAGGTGGTATTATTATTTCAGAAAATTGAAGGCGTCGAAGTATGCCTTTTTGGGATGTACGTTCAAGAATTTGGATCAGAATGTCAGCAGCCAAATCAGCGCAGAGTTTATCTTTCATATCTAGATTCTGTGAAGTATTTCAGGCCAGATGTCAAAACAGTGACAGGAGAGGCTCTTCGGACATTTGTGTACCATGAAATTTTGGCAAGTTTATTCCTCCATTTCATTCCATACTAAATTTTTGAGCCTGATTCATGCAAGGCCAAACAAATATTGTTACAATTCGTTATATTGACATCTGAACAATATAGTAATTCCCTACAGATTGGATATTTAGAATATTGCAAATTACGTGGTTTCACAAGCTGCTACATATGGGCTTGTCCTCCATTAAAGGGCGAAGACTACATTTTATATTGCCACCCAGAAATTCAAAAGACACCAAAATCTGATAAACTCAGGGAGTGGTAAGATTGATAGTCTTCTAATTTGAGACTGTCGTATTTATTTTTGCTATCACTTTTTGATATTGTCATGGATGTTTATCTTTTATTTCAGGTACTTGTCCATGTTAAGAAAAGCTGCGAAGGAAAATGTTGTGGTTGATCTTACTAATTTATATGATCATTTCTTTGTTTCTACTGGCGAATGTAAAGCTAAGGTGACTGCGGCACGGTTGCCATACTTTGATGGAGATTACTGGCCTGGTGCTGCAGAGGACATGATCCATCAAATACAACAAGAAGAGGATGGGAGGAAACAGCATAAGAAGGGAGCTACGAAAAGAACCATCACAAAAAGAGCTTTAAAGGCATCTGGTCAAGCTGATCTTTCTGCCAATGCATCGAGGGACCTCCTGTTAATGCATAAAGTAATTTTATTGCCCGTGTTTACATTTTTCTTGTGTTTAAATTTCTCTAGATTTTAATCTTTTATTTTGAATACCTAACAATTACGATATAGCTGTTATTATTAGTACTTCTAAAACGAAATAGTACAGGCACTTAAAAATAGTCATGGTTGATTTGCTATTTGCTATTTATTTTTTTCTCTCCTTTTAATTGTTTTTGTGGATTCTCTCTCATTTTGACTGTTGATTTATGTTTTTGATGCTTTTCTCTTTATGTGGTTCTTTCCACCGGCTCTTACTGTGAATCACATTGCTGCATGTCTTTTTATTGGTTCTTATAAACTTTTTCTGTATTTAGCTCGGTGAGACGATTTCTCCGATGAAGGAGGACTTTATCATGGTTCACTTGCAACATGCATGCTCACACTGCTGCATTCTAATGGTATCTGGAAATCGTTGGGTTTGCAAACAGTGCAAAAACTTTCAGCTTTGTGACAAGTAAGGAGTCTGCTGACATTTTAGGCATCAAATTAATTACTATTTTTTGTTTCTCTTTCCTGGACCTTTTCTTTCTAGAGCTATCCATTTTCTACGTGCTTTAGATATATATTAATAAAAGCTGATGCATGCTAAATTTAGATTGCCACGGGGAAGTTTATAAGTCTTTTCCCCTTACCAACAAGACCCCTTTCCCCTTCCTCCCTCAACCTCCCTCCTGGTCAGATAGGGGAAGTGGAGGTAAACTCAGGAAACAGATATTAGATACATATTGAAAATAGAATATCTATCTTGAACATTCCGTGCTCGTGATATCTGTTTTTTTGTATCTTTGAGAGTTATATGGTCCGTCATTGATTTCGTGCCATGTTAGATGCTCCAGTGAACCACCCAATGACCTACTGTTCTATCATCGAGGAGCTTAGTTCCTGTGAGATAGAGGAAACAGAGTGCAATAAGAATTTGTAAAGCTATATATTTGATGTTGGCAAAAAAAAGTTTGGCATTCAAAATTTAATTGTTTTCTACCGAGGTTTTCTGCAAAATGAATTCAGTAATATTCTGTGGATTTTTTTAATTACTATTATTTCCATGGTAAGTGGTATGCGAGTTATTCTTCTTATTGACAATTTCCATCAGATGAGAAATCTCTTTTACTGAAATCATTTTTCCCACTCATCTGTCTTCCACACTTGTATGCAAATGAGTGAAGTCCATGAACAATAACTGGTTGTATAATCGATGTAGTACTGTTTTATTTAACCATAGGACTCCTTTTTTCTCTTTGCTTTCTCCAGGTGCTATGAATCTGAGCAAGAACACGAGTACCAATATAGACATCCTATGAATCAAAAGGACAAGCATGTACTTTACTTGGTAAACTCTGCAGGGTTACAATTTTTTGCTCAAGTAGTTTTAATCATACTTCATTGATCTCCATTTTGTCTACATGAATTAGACAGTATTTAGAAGTTGAAAAAACTGCAGGTAGAAATCGATGATGTTCCTGTTGATACCAAAGATAAAGATGAGATTCTTGAGAGTGAATTCTTTGATACGAGGCAGGCATTTCTTAGCCTTTGTCAAGGAAACCATTATCAATATGATACCCTGCGTCGTGCTAAGCATTCCTCAATGATGGTCCTCTACCATCTTCACAATCCCACTGCCCCAGCATTTGTAATGACATGTAATGTATGTCAACATGATATAGAAGCCGGTCAAGGTTGGCGTTGTGAGACATGCCCAGATTATGATGTATGCAATGCTTGTTATCAAAAAGAGGTTGGGATTAGTCATCCTCATAAGTTAACTAATCAATTATCCAATGAACGTGATGCACAAAATAAAGAAGCAAGGCAATTCCGAGTTCAGCAGGTGCTTTTTTCATTTTTTTTTATTTCGTGTTACTTTGCTACTTTTACATCATTATCATTAATCTATGAGGTCTTGCTGTACACATTACTTTTTGCTCTTTCAATGTGTCGTACGCCTCTTTGCCTGAAATGCACTTCAATTAAAATAATTGGACAAAGATAAACACACACACACATTAAAGTCCAAGGTTGGCTTTTTCCACCAGAGGTATAGGTCATTCATAAGTGCCTGAACAAGCATGCATTCCAAAAGAGATGGTTCAATTTCATTTGAAAGTCATACATGATGATGACCTGTCAGTTCTGATTGCAGACAAGTGTTGCATAGTGATTGGGGAAAAACACCTCACTTATTGACACGATATCTATTTTACTCTGCAGCTTAGGAAAATGCTTGATCTCCTGGTGCATGCTTCTCAGTGTCGTTCTCCAAATTGCCAATATCCAAACTGTCGCAAGGTGAAGGGACTTTTCCGCCACGGTATGCTGTGCAAAATACGTGCTTCTGGTGGGTGTGCTCTCTGTAAGAAAATGTGGTATCTTCTTCAGCTTCATTCTCGAGCCTGCAAAGAATCTCAATGCACTGTACCGCGCTGCAGGTCTGTTCACCTATCTCTTTTTCATCCTTGAGAATTTGAAATTCCCCCATATCTCTGTCATCACTCAAGTGGAACGCTAGTTTTGTTCTAGAAATCATATGAATTTATGTACAATGTTTTGATGCAGAGATTTGACTGAGCACATTAGAAGGCTGCAACAGCAATCTGATTCCCGAAGAAGGGCAGCTGTGATGGAAATGATGAGGCAGCGTGCTGCAGAGGTTGCTGGGAATCCTGGATGAGCCAGTTGTACATTAGTAGTGACATTTTAATTGACTCTTTCACAAGAAGAAAATTTAGTCATAAACTGCTTTGTTTATAGGCCGAACTTGGGTGGTAAAAGAGGTACACTTTCTTCGGGACAATTTTTTCCGTACATATTTTTCCGGATAAGCTCCATACTGAAGTTTACAAAGATCAGATACTGATCCAGTCTGCAACACCACCTGCATACTGAAGTTATAAATCAGAGACTGCTCGTGTCTGGAACGACCAACTATATTGTTCAGATTTTGTAAGGGTGTAGAAGTATGTTGCTGAATAAGTGTAGTACTTCAATTTTATTTTCCTGTTTTTCATTTATTGCCATTGTTTGATGGCATGTGTACCATATCTTTCTTCACGTGTCCATAGATTATTTCACTTTCCAGAGAAATCACATGGGGGATTGCAGTTTTTCTTTTTGTATACTGATTTCCTCCAAACTTCGTTGGTGAAGCAATAAATAGCGTAATTAATTTGTCAATATATATTATGTTGAACTAAAATTTTCTTTTCCCTTTACTTTTATATGCTGGTACTTGATGGATCACTTAGAACTCCTCGAAGATGAGAGTTAAACCTTGATGGCATGTTTGTTGTGTAGGACTAATTATGACAAAAATTGCTATGTATTCTTCTTTAGTACAATTTAATCTTTATGTAGTTCAATGTGTTGTGCTGCCATGGAGGCATAGGCCGCCATTTTTAACTGAAGATATAGAGTAAGGTTCGTGCTTTGAAGGCCGCTACCTGCATATACACTCTCTCTAAAAGATGTTTAACCTCACTAATTTTCTTTGTTTTTATCAGGTTGTGCGAGTATTAGAGCTAGAGGGGCAGGTGGTTCTCGATTATTTCAAATATTGTATATAAGCAATTTATGTTTGGAGTATTGATCGTTGGTCTATGTGATAGTGAAGCTATTATTGAATTGTTCGATGAACAAAATGTATTTCAACTTCATTGAATAGTGTAATAGTAGTCTCATTATCCACACAAATCAATTGTGATTATCCCTCTCATATATTCCACGAGACGTCTTTAAGTTTTGTCAAATAATTATCTGTTTAGTATCATATCATAGTTAGCCATTGGTGGGTCTTACACTTAATTAGTATTTATTATCAGTGATATGTCTCCAGCCCACAATTTAGGCATTGAGTGTAAGACTGCGCAGATTTAAGGGAATAAGTCATGTGGTAATTACATTTTATTAATTAAATAAAAAATTATTTATAAAATAATATCAATTTCTCTTCCGTCCGACCACAATCACGGCATCCATCCCGCCACAATCTCCTCGTACAGTTGTCGGTATCTACCCCTCACCAGCATCCATCCAAATAACTTCGTCGGAGGAAAGATAAATTTACAGAAATCGTCAACGGCTAAGCATCTTCTTTAGTGACAGATTGCCGCTCAAATAGTAGAGAGAGAGAGAGAGAGGTGGAAACATAGTTGATGTTCAACAATTTTGACCTATATAACATGATATGTAACCTGTGAACTATTGCATGTGACCAAGTAATATTGACATGTGAACATTTGTGACCTATATAATATGACATGTAACGTGTGAATGATGATTTGTGACCTACAAACTACATGTAACCAATTAATATTAACGTATGATTTATTGGTCACAAACCGTATTTATACAAATCCAACTCAATCCAAAACCAGCACCATAATCACCATAACCACCATCTCAAAATCCACCACAAAACTACATCAAAAACTACCATAAAACAACCACCAAAAATCACAACCTCCATCTCCACCACAATCACAATCACCACCCTACAAAAATACCCCAAATCCTCATCTGCACCCCACCACAACCACTACCGCAGTTAGAGAACCCAGACCTTGATACCGGCATTCCTCAAGGACTCAATTGCTTCTGGAACTCCTTGTTGCAATTTATCTTCAATTGATCGTCGGAGAGTATGGGTAGTAGAGAGACGTCGTCGCAGAGAGTGATAGTGAGAGATGAGAGAGAAATTTTAATTTTAATTGAAAACCTAAGTTTTGCTTAACTAAACTTTACACCGAATTTTTCAATTATCATCTTTAAATACCTGGTGTTGTGTAATTTCCACTTTGAGAAAAAGAGTTTGGAATTGAACCCAAATGGTAGAAGAGTTGGTTAGAGATTTGCTGCTTGGCTGAATGGAAATGGATCATACTGAAGGTCACAGGCATACCTACAGAAGGCCAAAAGATGCCAGTATTGGCTCGGACTCGAGCTCCGCGTGACAGCATGAGCCACCACGTCAATGATACGTGGAGCAGTCCACCAAATTGGAATTGTGTGCACGATGAATTAAGTTCCTTGCGAGTTAACTACTTTACTGATATATGGAGCACTGGTATAACATTAGTCCTACAAATCAGAGCTGTGCGCTTGTCCCTTAGCTCGTAGTTGAGTTCTACGTGAGTTACGGTGTCAGCAATACTAAACATGCAATATCCTTTCGATAATTTTATCTTAATGCTAAAATGGAGTGAAATATTCGATCATTGTCTAAGACAAGCGATTATAGTACTCATACAAAAGTAACATACGATTAGGTATGTAATCATACAAGATCATCGTCCATACAAACCTAAAATCAAGTACTAAAATGTGCTTAAATAAATACACTTCACGTGCATCGCACATGCAACAAACTAGTTTCTCAATAAGCGTCGGGCAAAAACGTGCCTTCGGATTCATTGTACAACGAATAGGAAATCTTCAATATATCTAATATGGAGAGAAACATTTGACCAATGTTTAACACGACAAGCAAATCAGGGTACTCGTAGAAATAGAAGATACCATACCCATAAAATACAAACCTTAAAACAAATAGGACCAAAGAAACAAATATGCACACCCTGATCATACAAAAAACTTCCATAAACAAATACTTTTTAAACTACAAAAACTGATGCAGACGATTCTTGAGCACATAGTCAGAAATGATCTTATTGGTTTTCTCTGTTGGATGGAAAGAATCCCAAAATACATACTTACTTGCATCTGAACATGTAAAGGGATTCAGTTGATCACACGTGTATCCCATCTCAAACATTCCTGTCGAACAACATGCCACTGCTGCTACATCAAATCCTGTATCATACATAAGTTGCCACAACTTTTAAGAATACGTCGGTTTTCTTTTTTTATTTTCTCAATGAAAAACGAGCGAATATATCACAAAAAATACAGTAATAAATGTGCTAAGAGACACGACCAACCGTGTCAAGAAATTTTTGTGTGCTAATAATAATAATAATAATCTTTCTTCCATGATATCATAAGTTGTACAAAAATAAGCGATTTCAAATTATTCGGTAGGAAGTGAAGTCTTAAATTTAAGATTGTACTCAAGTTTTAATAGATTTCACTAAAATGATTGTATTTCCCACACGTATTTTTATAGCTTTTGTGTTTCTAAGGATTTCGTATACAAGGTGACATTATATTCACTTGACTCTTTTTTCCATTTTCGATTAAAATCTATAATGAATGCAACCTTGGACCACCAGAAATCAAATTTCAATCCTGGCTCCGTCACTGCTAATTAGTAATTAATAAATAAACTAATAATTATATCATTTACGACATTGAATGGTGATTGCGTAATGTAACCACATTTATTGTTACAAACCAAATCCAAAATTTATTGAGACAAGATTTTGAGCATGTATGGCTAAGGTTAAAATTTCCATTTAAGGTAAATAAGTAAGTTTTAAATTAATTATCCTTTTTTGATAAAAACTAAAAGCTCATTCTTTTGACACTAATGTAAAAGTTAAATCTATAAAAATTATCTTTTTACTTTAGAAAGTAAGAAAAAAATTAACTTATCCAAACATGTTTTGCAATCAAAATACATTTTAAATTTTGCTTGTTTTTAAACTTTGCAAACATGCTCTTAGTTTGTTGTTGTCAATGTTTTACTCAAAGTCAGTTGGCAATAAACAATCATTAGTATTTTAAAAGGATAGTTAATGCAAAAGAATCATGCTCTGCCTTAGCACTAGTTAGGTGGCAGTTGGGATGCATTAGACAATTAATTAATGGGGACAAATTCTATCTAGATTGGTACTATACAAAAAAATAATTCCTTGTTTGATGCCCATTAAAAAAAAGTTCAGTTGGAAAATGCGTTTTGAAATAGTGATTTTTTAGAAAATGTGCGATTAAAAAGTAGGAAAAAATTTTGAGTTTACGTACAAAATATTTTATTGTGAAAACGTGTGATTGAAAATAAGTAAAAAAAAATTCGGGAGAATGGTAGACAATCAATGCAAAGAGTAATGTTATATATAATACCAATTTAGGTGACAGCTGACACGTGTGTGTTATTGTATAGAACAATTAACTAATGGGGTTACCTACGATGCTACGTTGGTACTATGCAAAATAATAATGGTAGGTGGCAGTTGGGTTGCATTTTTTGATGCATTCAATAAGGACTTTGCTATAGGTACAGGTACCTATAGACTACACACAATTTTTGGGGGGAATTTTTTTTTTTTTTCAATATTTTATACATGAGTCCACTACATGCGAGTTGGAATTCAAAAATATGGTCCAATTCTAGTAAAAATTCCCCGTACTTGAATCATTTTCCTCAATGTTTTACATGGCATCATTAATGATTTGATACATCAATATGATTGTTTTTTTATTGCATTATGGATGGAATCATTAACCGCCGCATGTATGTCGCGTAAGACGACTACGATAGTGAGCGATTGCAAATAATATTATTCTAAATAAAATTACTCAATACAAAATAAGTTAGAGAAAACTTACCAAATAATGAAGGTTTCTTGATGATTTGCAAGAAAATATTGTAAGGATCTGAAAAAACTACTCTTATGCCAGGCAATTCTTTGTTCAACTTGTGCACTAAACCACTCAATTTCACATTGAATTGCAGTGCCACAGTGTTGTATCCATCATTGCATCCCTGTCCGAATC